TTCCTACTGCAGAAGCTCTTCCCACAGTCGGAGCAGATGTAGGGTTTCTCTCCGGAGTGCATTTTCTGGTGTTCGGTGAGCTCTGCCTTGCAGCGAAAGGACTTTCCGCACTCAGCGCATGTCTCACCCTTGAGGAACCTTTGCTGGACTGGCATGGCAGGGAGCTGGAAAGGAATGGATTTGCCTTCTTCATTATGGGGGTGAGTTTCCTGCTGGTTTTCGGAAGCTTCTCCCCAGTAAGGATAACGGGAAACTGTCTGTTCTGCTCTCCCTGGCATCATCCAATGTGGTTCAGCTCCTTCAGAATTGATTGGCAGATTCTTCTTCCAGCATGCCCTCTCATTGTCTGTTGGAAAAAACAGAGGATCCTTACAAAGGGAGATTTCCCTTCACCAGGATAACATTACGCAGCTTGGATAACATTACACAGCAAAGAAGGGGTTTGGGGCCCAGTTATCAAAGATCCTGCTTGCTAGTGCATCTATAAGGTCAGTTAGATTACCTGGCTGTGAGTCTTGAAGGCTGCTCCCTGCAAAGCCCTTTCCACCAGGCCTAGGGGGCGGGGCCCACACTCACCAGCTCTACTAAAGAGGCTCCTGGTGAGAACCAGAGGGACACTGCTATGCCTGACAACAAACCCTAACAGTTGGATTCTTTTGCCCCATCTTTTTGTGCCTGCCAAACAGCCATGTCATGCTTATGATAATATTTTATTCTCTTCTTAACTATGCTGTTTTAAATGTGCATTTAATATTTTACTTTACTAGTAATGGTTTTTAAAAAAATGTTTAAGTTTTTATTTTGTTAACTTTGTTTGTGTTAAATATGTATTCTGTACTTGACCTCCTTTGTAATGTTTCATTTTATTATCTTTAAGATCACATTTTAGTTTTCTGTTAATTATGTTGCTTTGGCTGCGTACTCTATATTTGACTTTCTTCAAATTGTTTTATTGATGTTTTAATATTCTGTAAACTGCTTTGAGATTTTTCTTAAAAATATAAAGCTGTATAGAAATGAAATAAATCATAATGATAATCAGAATAATTGGTGTGCACTAGATCTGTGGGCAGAGCCTTTTTTGTGGTGGCCCCTCATTTGCACAACCTGCTCCACAAGAGAACTCCCTCCAGCCAAAGACTCCTTACCCAGCCAAGGGGCATCAGCAGCCGAATCCTCCACTTTGGTGAGCGGCCACTCACCAGAGTCTGACAGAGCCCCGTCAGCCTCAGGGGAATCATCCGCTTTCTCCTTGAAGGGCCAGAGGACCTGAAACAGCAGAAAGAAAAAGACAAAGAAATGGGTGCAAATCGCCTGAGATTCAGGGGTGGGGAACCTCTGGAGCTTCTCCAGATACTGCGGGACTCCAGTTCCCATCAGCCCCCAGCCAGCATGGCCAAGGGTCAGGGGAGTGGGAGTCCAGCAACATCTGGAGGGCCAAAGACTGGGTCAGGCCATTGGCCCATCTTTCACAGTATTGCCTACACTGACTGGCAGCAGCTCTCCAGAATCTCAAGGAGACCTTCTTCAGGCAAAGGCTGTCCTCTGCGCTGTCTTTGAAGGCGGATGCATTAAACCAGCTGGTGCAGAATGTGGCAGCCCATCTCAAGACAGGGACTGGAGCACAGGAATCCATCACTCCTGTGTCCACATAGCTTCTCTCCAACCAACACTGACTGCCTGTTCACAGCAGTGGAAGCTGGTCCGTTAGGGCAGAGAGTGCGCTGTCCACCATCCTTAGTCTTCCCCCAGCAAGTGGCGTTCTAAGGTACACTGCCTCAGAACCTGGAGGTTCTACTTTGCCAATGAAGCCAACCCCTGCTGATTTGGCCAGATCCCATCTTCGAACCATCTAGGGCAGGCATAGGCAAACTCAGCCCTCCAGGTGTTTTTGGCCTACAACTCCCATGATCCTCAGCTGGCAGGACCACTGGGTCAAGGATGATGGGAATTGTAGTCTCAAAACATCTGGAGGGCCGAGTTTGCCTATGCCTGATCTAAGGGAACAGTCAGTCCAATGCTTATTTACAGTCAGCAAAAACTGCCCCAATGGCTAGTCCTCTGGGCTCCCTGCCACTGTTCGTTTTGTTCTTCCTAGGACTGATCTCCTGCCCTCTCACCTGTTGTATTTCGTGCTCGTTCTCTTGCTGCCTCTCCAGGAAATCCTCCGCCAGGCCGACTGCCTGACCGCAAGTCTCCGGCCCGCCTTCCCTGACCCAGCTCTGCATCTCCGGGGGCAGGACGGCCAGGAACTGCTCCAGGATCACCAGCTCCAGGATCTGCTCCTTGCTGCGCCTCTCCGGCTGCAGCCACCGATGGCAGAGCCTCCACAGCATCCCACAGAGATCTCGCGGCCCCTCGGCCTCCTGGTAGAGGAACTGCCTGAAGCACAGGCGCTCCACCTCCTGGCTGGGAGCCTCCTTCTTCACTTCCCCACGGTCCAGGGCCAAAACGCTGTGGGTGGGCGGGGGGACGTCTCCTCCAGGGCCGGGCAGGTGGCGGATCACCCTGCCTCGCCCAGTGTCTGGTCGCCCCTCAAAGGAAGCCTGAGCATCCCTTGGGCCATTGCTGGCCAGCTGCAGGTTTCCTGGCTCAGACTGTGGAGACCGCACAGCCTTCAGGAGCCCCTGACACTGAGCTTCCCAGCACTCCTCCTGAGGCCCTTCCTCGGGTTCCTGCTTAATGTGCTCTGTTATGGTCCCTTCCCACAATTCCTTGAGGCTCTCTGAGCGGACGGCCAAGGGGCCTGTTCCTGCAGCCTCCTCCGGTTCAGACTCCGATGCCTCCTCCTTCACTGTGTCCTCCAGCAGGGCATCTCGGGGGACAGTCCAGACAGCTGCATCCCTGCGTTCGGACGCCATCACCTCTCTTAACTCCGGGGCTTGGCAGGGGTCACTCACACACTGCTATCCCATGTTTCTCAATGATGTCAACTGCCAGGTCCAGGGTTGTTTATAAGGCCCAGTGCCTCTGCAAGGAAAGAGAATCAGTGGGATCTGCAGCAAAAAGTTGCATCGTGGAACACTCCTGTTCAGGGTACATTCCATTCTCTGCCCCCATGTTTTCCATCCCACCAATCAGCAGCCAGCATTCTGTGCACACTGAGCATGCTCAGTCCTCAGAGAGCTGTAGCTCTGTGAGGGGCATAGAGGGTCTCCTCTCAGCACTCTTAACAAACTACAGTTCCCAGGATTCTTTGGGGAAAGCCATGGAAGTTAAAAGTGGAATTACATTGTGCTAAATGCATAGTGCAGACGTCACCCTGATTACAGCCCTTTCACATGAGAGTCCAGTCCTGGTTTCCCACTGCGCTTTCTCACATTCAGAAGCTGTTCTTTTCATTTTTGCAGGGCGAGAGAAAGAGTTGCTGCTGCTATTTCTAATCAACTGGCAATCAAGGAGCCTTAGAGACTCTTAGTGATCTACTGCAAATCCCCCCCCCCATCTGACTTCTGACCACCCCTGAAGACAGATCAAGCAAGATATAGACAAGACATAGGCATGATGAAGAATAGTTCTTGATAGACTTTATGTTTTAAAAGGGGGGGGGGATAGAGAAATCCACAGAGGATGTTCCAAAACTCATCACGGCTCCGTGGAACCTGCATGTTAAGGAGCAGTTTACCTGCAAAGTGCTGGAAGCAGAGAGCAGCAAGAGGTTTGCTGCTGCCTCGCCGCCTCTGAGCATCCCAGAGAGGTCTGGCTGCCCACTGTTGGGAGCAGGAGGCTGGTCTGGGAGGGGTCTGTCTGACCCAGCAGGGAGTCCTCTTAGATCCCTAAAGCAAACCTTCCTATTCCAGGCCAGCTCTCTGCTCCTGCCTCAAGGCGCTTCCCACTTACCGGATTCCCTCCCCGGAGCTGAAAAATCTCTTTTTCCAGCCTCTACCTTGCAGCAAAGAAAAGCACCATAGAGTCGCTAAGGGGGAGAAAAGGAAAGGAGGGCCTTCAATAGTCATAACAATTTCCGTCCGAAGTGCCGCTCTGGAAATCCCGACTCTCTCAGCTTAACCCTTTGTAACAACCAGAGCACAGAGGGGCTTTCCTTTGTATTTTTAAATATCCCTCGCCTGTGTCAAATTGGAAGCATCAGAGTAGGTCTGACAGTGCAAATAAAAGCCTAAGTGTGCATGCATTTTAGGGGCTGTAGTTCGGTGGCAGAGCATATGCTCGACATGCTAAAGGTCCCCTTGGTATCGGCCACTTAAAAGGCGAAGGGAAGGACCTTTCTGCGCTGGAGACCCGAGAGAGCCGCTGCCAGCCCGTGCAGGCAATACTGGCCTTGGTGAACAAATAGGCTAACCTCTGGTACGGAGCAGCTTCGCGGGCAAACATCTTGCTAGCTGTGCGCATACAAAAAAAGAGAGTTAGCAGAGTCAGGCCAATGGCCCATCGAGTCCAGCATCCTTTTCCCACAGTGGCCAACTAGATGCCTGTGGGAAACCAGCAGCCAGGATCTGGCCTCAAGAGCCCCCTCCTCTCCAGCAATTGGACCCCTTACTCTGTGGAGTTTGGGCACAGAGGCGAGATTTGAACTGAGGTCTTCGCCCTGAGCTCCTCCATTGCAAAGATTTGATGTGCTAATTATGGTATTTATTTCTCACCTTTATTTCTTCAATAAGTGGTGCTAATGGTTCTCCCCCTCTTCATTTGATCCCCACTACAACCTTGCAAGGTAGCCTAGGCTGAGAGGCAGTTGCCTGTCCAGCTTCCTGGCCCAGTAGGGATTTGAACTCAGGTCTCCCCCGGTCCTAGTCCAGCACCCTTAAATACTACATAACATTGGCACTCGTGTGTAGACATCATACATTAAAAGCAAATCTCCCCCCCCCCCCGAAAAAAACAAGAACTGTAGTGTAAGGGTGCCGAGTGCAGGGCAAACTACAGTTCCCAGTATAAAACTGGGTTTGCCTCGTTGCAATTCGGCTTAAGGGTTAAAGTGTGCGAGTTTGCACCCCTAGAAAAGCGAATTGGCAGGAAGGAAAGATCTGCAAAGGGGCTGAAGTCATTTCCTGCCCCTCCTCTTGTAGGGAGAGGGTTGTGTGTGGTTTTTTTAGGGGTGTTGCTGTTCATTGAATTGTTTCGTGGTGGAGATCAGCGCCTGCGGAGCCTCTTCGCTCAAAGAGGATTTAGGAGAGAAGAGCCGAGGCGGGGAAGCAGGAAGGCAAAAGTGGGGTTTTCCATGGAATAATATGCAAAGGGATGATGACTAGGAAGACTTCTTAGTTTGTGGATCCTGAGCAGCAGGATTTTGCAAGCGAGCAAGCTGTTCAATCAAGTGGTTTATCCTGCTTGTCTTTTTTATAAAATGTTCTTACTTCTGTTCAAGTTATAAAAAGGTTTTATCCTGTTTTTCAAGATCCTCAAAGGTTTTGTGTTGCCGATAGGGCTGCATTGTATTATTATTATTATTATTATTATTATTATTATTATTATTATTATTATTCCCAGGCACCCCCAAGATCTGAGGAGAGCTGGTCGGGGGTTGCAAACTTGCAAAAGGTGCACTTATTTCTTGACACCTCCCACGTGTGTTTTTGGAACCCGCCCAGTTTTCGGTGTCCGAAATCTGTTTAAATTATTTTTAATTCTGGATTTTAAACGGTTGTAACCTGTCCTGCTACTGAAGGTATGGCAATAAACAAACACCACCACAGTAATCCTAATAATAATATGATTAGTAACAAATGTTTCTCGCCATTTTTAATTTACGAATTTACTTTTTCTGTTAGCTGCCTTGAGACCTGCTGGTGAAGGGTGGGCAATACATGGGCGATGTGACGCTCAAGAGCAGCAGGGACACTTAATCCATGGCTCTGCCTATCATTCTCCGGCTTCTGATGACACACACTTCCCTTCCCAACCTAGGAAAGGAAGAACTCAAAAAACACACCATTTTTAAGGACCATGGGCCAAGATGGTGCTTTTTGCATATGGAGTGGCTTTAAACCTGTTCCGAACTGCCTCGTTGAATTTGACAAGGCTGAGGGCACCCCCTGGTCAAGATGGCTCATTTCTCATAGAATTGTAGAGTTGGAGGGGACCCCAGAGGTCATCCAGCCCAACCCCCTGCAATGCAGGAATCCTGCCCACAGCCATCCCTGGGTGGGCTTGAACCAACAGCCTTCTGGTTAACAGCCAGGCGCGCTGACCCATCGCCCCACCTCTTACCTCTCTTGGAATCCCTAACCGTTTCAGGTGCTGTTGATGGACTGGGCCGCTACCTTCCCCGAGGCAGAGGATGCTCCTTCAGACAGTGCACAGAGGCTCATGTCCCAGGGAGTCAAGCAGGAGGATGGCCAAGATTCGCTGGGTAAGGTGAACGTAGAACCGTAGAGCTGGAAGGGGGTGGAGACACTTGTTCAGGTATACTTGTTCAGGCCTCGGTCCTGTATACCTGAAGGAGCGTCTCCACCCCCATCGTTCAGCCCAGACACTGAGTTCCAGCGCTGAGGGCCTTCTGGCGCTTCCCTCATTGCGAGAAGTGAGGTTACAGGGAATCAGGCAGAGGCCCTTCTCAGTAGCGGCACCCGCCCTGTGGAACGCCCTCCCTTCAGATGTGATGGAAATAAAGCAGCTGTCTTGTCTTTAAAAGACATCTGAAGGCAGCCCTGTTTAGGGAAGTTTTTAATATTTAATGGTGTATTGTTTTAAGACTTGATTGGGAGCCGCCCAGAGTGGCTGGGGAAACTCAGACAGATGGGCAGGGTATAAATAATAAATTATTATTATTATTATTATTATTATTATTATTATTATTATTACTGGGCCGAGGCCCAGATTATCTGTCAATGGGGAATGCTTGCTTCTTCTTTTGGGGACTGATGAAATAATGTTCCAGTTAACTGGTGTCTCTTCCCCTTGGCTCTCATTTCTTTCTCGGCTCCAGTAGGAGGACGCTGGGAGAGGGAAAACGAAGGCGAACCAGGAGGAGGGTCTACAAAAATGGAAGATCTAGACGTGGATGTCAGCACCAGTACTCAAGATGAAGCCACGAGGCAGCAAGGCAGGAAAACGTCCACCAGAGATAAGCGCAGGAGTCCGTCCAACGCCAGCAAAGACGGGGAGGCCCACAAAACCCCAGCCCAAGTAGATGTGCAGGAGGAAAAGAGAAGGAACAAGTGCCCTGTGTGCGGGAAGATGTTTTGTTCTAAGTCACGCCTTAACGTACACCAGAGAATCCACACCGAGAAGAGGCCCTATCAGTGCTTTGAGTGCGGGAAGGGTTTCAGGCAGAGCGGGCATCTCTCTCAGCACCAGAGGATGCACACGGGAGAAAAACGGTACAAGTGTTTGGAGTGTGGGAAGAGCTTCAGCCAGAGCACCTATTTTATCCTCCACAAAATAACCCACACGGGAGAGAAGCCGTTTACGTGCCTGGAGTGCGGCAAGAGCTTCAGTCACAGCAGGCGGCTGACCATCCACCGTACCATCCACACAGGGGAAAGGCCGTACAAGTGCAAGGAGTGCGGGCAGAGCTTCAGCCAGAGCACGCACCTTACCTCTCACCAGAGAATCCACACCGGGGAGAAGCCCTACAAGTGCCAGGAGTGCGGGAAATGCTTCAATCAGAGCACGCACCTCACTTTGCATCGAAGGATCCACACCGGGGAGAAACCTTACCAGTGTCTGGAGTGTGGCAAGTCCTTCAGCCAGAGGCCGCACCTTACTTTGCACCGGAGAATCCACACGGAGGAGAAGATGTACAAATGCTCAGAGTGCGGGAAGAGCTTCCATCGAAGCGACCACCTGACCTCGCACCTGAGAGTGCACACGGGAGAGAAGCCGTACCAGTGCTCACAGTGCGGGAAGAGCTTTAGCCGAAGCGCAATCCTGACGAAGCATCAGATAACCCACAAAGGTGGAGAAACTCCCGTGGGAACAGATGAAGGCTCTGTCTGAGCGTTTCCTGAGAAATTCCGGCCGGTTGTGACGCACTGCTGTTCCAGTTGTGGTGCTGCTCCAGAGAGAGGGTTGACGTGTGATTATACTGTGCAGTGGTACCTCGGGTTACAGATGCTTCAGGTTACAGACTCCGCTAACCCAGAAATAGTACCTCGGGTTAAGAACTTTACCTCAGGATGAGAACAGAAATCGCACGGCGGCAGCATGAGGCCCCATTAGCTAAAATGGTACCTCAGGTTAAAAACAGTTTCAGGTTAAGAACGGACCTCCAGAACGAATTGCCGTATTTTTCGCTCTATAAGACGCACCAGACCACAAGACGCACCTAGTTTTTGGAGGAGGAAAACAAGAAGAAGAAAAATCTGAATCTCAGAAGCCAGAACAGCAAGAGGGATCGCTGCGCAGTGAAAGCAGCAATCCCTCTTGCTGTTCTGGCTTCTGGGATAGCTGCGCAGCTTGCATTCGCTCCATAAGACGCACACACATTTCCCCTTACTTTTTAGGAGGGAAAAAGTGAGTCTTATAGAGCAAAAAATACGGTAAGTTCTTAACCCGAGGTACCACTGTATAGCAGCACAATCCTTGGGCTTCCTGGATCAAATGGGATGTGCTTCAAAGGTCATTCATATGCTCTTTACATTAGAGTTGGAGAATCCCATAGTTCTCCTCTGGATCAAGTCCCCTTAAGCCCCAGTCAGCATGGCTGATGGTCAGGAATTGTGAGTGTTGTAGTCCAACAGCTTCTGAGGGCTCACGGGTTTCCCTATCCGTACTGCAGATCAGCGGTTTCCATACTTTTTTCGGGCCATTGTTTTGATAAACTTGTGCCCAGTTCCCCAACCCATACTGTTTCAAAATCATTATTCAGGATAGCAGTTTGCACAATTTCCTTCAGATAGTAACACAATAAAATAATTCCGGCTTGGGAATGACTTAGTTTAATTTATTTTAACAAACTGGTGAACTTGATCCATTTTGTTGTAGGTTTTTAAACAGGTTGGGTGGTTGTATGTCGTGGATGCTTTAGCTGTGATTCCTGCACAGCAGGGGGTTGGTCTAGATGACCCCTGGGGTCCCTTCCAATTCTCCTGTTGCCTCTTAGCCCCCGGCTAGGAAATCCCACCCCCACCCCAGGGGATGGTACTGCCCATTTTGGGAAGCACTGATCTCGATTAAAGAGCTCACATAGGTGGAAAATCCTGTAAAATGAAAATTGTATGCTCACAGAGGACATTCCCAGCCATGCTCTTTATTAGCCTTTTTCAGCCTAGTGCCCTCCAGATAATTCAGACTATTTTGCTGTCTCTTTCTCTGCAAAAAGTCATCTGGGGTTTGAGGGATCCTTTCCTCCTCTCTGTCCCAGTTGGTAGCTTCTATTTTTAAAAAACAAAACCAAAGGGGTTTGTCGATAAGCAGCTAGGGTACTTCTTTCAAGTAGATGGGCTGGTGGAAGTAAAATGTCTAAAACTGCCTAATTTCATCCTTTCTTTGTCAAGTCATTACAGTTTTATTAGTTTCAGACTAAGACCTGAGAGATCTGGGTTCAGAGCCTCACTTGGCCAAGAAAGGGAGGCAAATATTGGCAACCTACATCCCGGGGTGGTTGTTACGAATAACACAATCACAGTTGTTCAAGACCCTGGAAGTCAGTTCTTGTCGCACCAGGGAATGCATATTCTTCAAATGAATTTTTTTTAAGAACTAGGAAGCAAATCCTGCTATTTGTTATTATTCATTTGTACATGGTTGGTGATATTAATAAAGAAATGAGCCTGTCTTGGGTAGTAAAATGCATGACTGGAAAGATTGGAGTGGGGGAAAGAGAACTGTTACGATGGGATTAGGGTGGGGGAAATGGTCCTCGCCTTGCGCAACCAGCTTCCTGTATTTGCAATAGGATGGTAGTTATCATACACTTCTAGTCCCAGGGAGCATTTATTCAGGAGAGAAGTGAACCAGGCAAAGGGCCTCCTCGGTAGTGGCACCCTCCCTGTGGAACGACCTCCCGTCAGATGTCAAGGAAATAAACAGCTGTCTGACTTTTAGAAGACATCTGAAGGCAGCCCTGTTTAGGGAAGTTGTTCATGTTTGACATTTTATTGTGTTTTTATACAGTGGTACCTCGGGTTACATACGCTTCAGGTTACAGACTCCGCTAACCCAGAAATAGTACCTCGGGTTAAGAACTTTGCTTCAGGATGAGAACAGAAATCGTGCTACGGCGGCAGCAGGAGGCCCCATTAGCTAAAGTGGTGCTTCAGGTTAAGAACAGTTTCAGGTTAAGAACAGACCTCCGGAACGAATTAAGTTCTTAACCTGAGGTACCACTGTATTATTAAAAGTATTATTATTAGGCCACATAGGTGCTCCTGTCAAGGTGGCTGGCACACACACATTCACAGAAGGACATGTTCATTGCTCCATCAGCCTTCCGATCAATCTTGGGTAACTTGGACAAGCCACAAAGGGCAACGTTCAATTCACAGTACAGCCACACACGCCACCTGATACAACACAAACTTGCGCCACGTTCAACAGTAAGTCAGAAAGTGAGAGAAGCCTGCAGGAGGTCAGTGGTCCATCAAGTTCAGTTTCCTGTACTGAGGGTGTCCAAGCAGATGACTCAATTCCGCAGGTCTCTGCGCCGTTCCGAAGATAAAATCACAATATAAAAACACAAAGAAAAAATAAAAATAAGAACAGCCCATAACCTCCCTTCCCATGATGCAGCAAGTGTGTGAGGAACAGGAAGCAAAGGCTTCACTTCATCAGACAAGAGGCAGCGTGGTTTGGCTGAGTCTAGGAATCTACTCTTGGGTTTTTTTAATCCTGTATGATAGAGATAGGGATGCGGGTGGCGCTGTGGGTTAAACCACACAGCCTAGGACTTGCCGATCAGAAGGTTGGCTGTTCGAAACCCCGCTCAGTTTGAACCCCCGTGACGGGGTAAGCTCCCGTTGCTCAGTTCCTGCTCCTGCCAACCTAGCAGTTCGAAAGCACATCAAAATGCAAGTCGATAAATGGGTACCGCTCCGGCGGGAAGGTAAACGGCGTTTCTGTGCACTGCTCTGGTTCGTCAAAGCAGCTTAGTCATGCTGGCCACATGACCCGGAAGCTGTACGCTGGCTCCCTCGGCCAATAAAGCGAGATGAGCGCCACAACCCCAGAGTCGGCCACGACTGGACCTAATGGTCAGGGGTCCCTTTACCTTTACCTCTGATAGAGATGGGAAACTTCCAGCCTTTGTGCCAGGTGTAGCTTTCCAGGACACTCTATGTGACACTTGGGGACATGTCCCTCACCAGCCTTGCTCCCCCCTCCCCCTCAGGTGCTTTTGCCTGACTGGAGAGTCCTATCGCTCAACTATCCCAATTTGTCAGGGACAATTACAGAAACCCATCACGGCTTCTGATTGCATCCCAGAATGTCCCGTTTTTTGGTCCCATGCTCTTGCCTTGCACCTGCGCACCACCACCTCCTCTGCGTCACGTGGCCTGGGCGGCGCAGGATTCCAGAACATTCAGCTTCGATGGATGACGACAAATTTTAGTGCTTTCTCCACACTGCACAAAACTCTACGCGCCTCTAGCCTGTTCCCTCTTCCTCGCCTTTCCTCTCAACCAAAAGGTCCCAGTGTTGCAACCTTTCCACAAAGGGGAGTTGCTCCCCTAATTCATTGCTCCCCTTTTCTGGTAAGGTGTGATTGATGCCGGAAGCTTTTTCCACAGATGGCATTTATATGATGAGGCTTGTTTCTGAGTCAACATGTACAGGATTATCCTGTTAGAAAATTTAAGCAAAGTCTGGAGAGACATCTGTCAAGAGACGGCGTAGTTGCATCCTGTATTGAGCTAGGCTGGATTGCAAAAGACTTTTACTATTACTTAATTTATAAACATTGGGATGCGGGTCGGCGGTTTGAATCCCCGTGACAGGGTGAGCTCCCGTTGCTCAGTCCCTGCTTCTGCCAACCTAGCAGTTCGAAAGCACGTCAAAGTGCAAGTAGATAAATAGGTACCGCTCCGGCGGGAAGGTAAACGGCATTTCCATGCGCTGCTCTAGTTCGCCAGAAGCGGCTTAGTCATGCTGGCCACATGACCCGGAAGCTGTACGCCAGCTCCCTCAGCCAATAAAGCAAGATGAGCGCAGCAACCCCAGAGTTGGCCATCACTGGACCTAATGATCAGGGGTCCCTTTACCTTTAATTTATAAACTGCTTTATTGCTTTTAAAAAAAACCCCTCTAAAATTTTAAATTATTGATAAAACCAAAATTCAAAAGCATTCAAAAGATTAAAAAAAGATAAAATACAGGTAACTTCTACATGTCTGGCTATGCTTGCCTCACAAAAATGTTTCAAGCAGGTGCCAAAAAGAAAACAGCAAAATTGCCTGCCTGGTGTCAAAAGTGTAAATGCTGCCATGCTAAAAGATTTATTACACATGCAGAATGGGTATTGCCGTATGTGGCACCCATAACAAGTGCCGATTCTGCAGAATGAAGTGGTCAAATATGGTAAGGCGATCCGGAAAGCAAACTGCTCCCAAGGTGTTAAGGGCCGAATAGCAACACTTTGAACTTGGCCTATTTGCAAATGGGAAGATCTCTGAGTGGAGGCATCATATGCAGACAGAGTCTCACTCCTGTCAGTAACCCGAGCGGACGCATTTTGCGCTAGCCGCAGCTTCTGGATCAAGCGCAAAGGAGACCCCACGTGGAAGGCAGCACAGTACTCCAGTGGGGGATGGGATTTGTGTTTCAAAACGTCTGCAGGGCACCAGGTTGGCAAAGGCTAGTCTGGACCACCTACAAGCTCCCTTACATCTCTCAAACGTTATCATTTCAATCATTTAATTTTCTGTGGCTCTCTCTGGAGGCATGATTATCAAGGCAGAAACCTTTGTGCAGGTGCAGGGAGCTATGTTAGAAATTCCCCAGGCGCGTTTTGCTACAGGCGAGGGTCCAATTGCAACTGCGTGAAGGTTTATGGGCACCTGGTTGGCGACCACAGTTTAAAAACCTCGGCCTTAGCCCATCTTCAGTACCATTTCCGTTGTGTGTTTCTCCTTGCATACTGGGCCAATGAATTGTAAGAGCAAGCTACAGTCAAGCAACGTAGCTGAGATCATGGAAATTTGGCGCCTAGCTTATACGCTGAGTTTCTAACCCTGGCAGGGAGCCTTTGGTCTGCCTGATGTCGCTGGACTACATCTCCCATCTGCCCCCAATGGCAGAGTATGATGGGAGTTGTAGTTCAGCAACATCTGGAGGGTGGACAGGTTCCCTGTACTAGCCTCTCCTCAGTTGACACTGGGCTGCATCAATAGGAGTATAGCATCTAGATCAAGGGAAGCAATAGTGCCACTGTATTCTGCTCTGGTCAGACCTCACCTGGAGTACTGTGTCCAGTTCTGGCCACCACAGTTCAAGAAGGACACTGACAAACTGGAACGTGTCCAGAGGAGGGCAACCAAAATGGTCAAAGGCCTGGAAACGATGCCTTATGGGGAACGGCTAAGGGAGCTGGGCATGTTTAGCCTGGAGAAGAGGAGGTTAAGGGGTGATATGATAGCCATGTTCAAATATATAAAAGGATGTCACATAGAGGAGGGAGAAAGGTTGTTTTCTGCTGCTCCAGAGAAGCGGACACGGAGCAATGGATCCAAACTACAAGAAAGAAGATTCCACCTAAACATTAGGAAGAACTTCCTGACAGTAAGAGCTGTTTGACAGTGGAATTTGCTGCCAAGGAGTGTGGTGGAGTCTCCTACTTTGGAGGTCTTTAAGCAGAGGCTTGACAACCATATGTCAGGAGTGCTCTGATGGTGTTTCCTGCTTGGCAGGGGGTTGGAGTCGATGGCCCTTGTGGTCTCTTCCAACTCTATGATTCTATGACTACAGTCAAACCTCAGTTGTTGAACATACTCTGTTCCGGAAGCCTGTTTGGCTTCCGAAACGTTCAACAACTGAGGCACGGCTTCTGATTGGTTGCAGGAGCTTCCTGCACTCAAGCGGAAGCCGTGTTGGACGTTTGGCTTCCGAAAAATCTTCAAAAAACGGAGCATTTTCGGCGTTCGGGAGTCAAAACGTTCGAAAACAGAGCTGTTCAGGAACTGAGGTTTGACTGTATTTGCATTTTATTCATTCAACAAAAGTTGTATACCACTTGACTGCAAATGAAACCCCTAAGCGGTTTACAAAGCAGATGAAAAACGTCTGTAGAAACCAATGTTAATAGCAAGTTTATATAAAAAGGTGACTGGAGCCAGGAGTTTAAAAAGTATACATTCTAAACTAGTACTCCAGATTAAAACACACATCCATTTTACATGTCCAGGTAGGATTCCCTAAACACAAAAGATTTTAGCAGGCGCTGAAAAGGCACCTGCCGAATGTCAACGAGCAGGGAGTTCTGAAGTGTAAAAGCTGCCACACCAAAAGTGTAGAATGGGCATTATGGGTCTCCTAGCAACTCTCAGCCCCCCTTTTTTTTAAAAAAAAAAAACTACACTTCCCAGGATTCTTTGGAGGAAGCCACGACTGCTTGAAGAGCTCCAGTACTGCTTGAAATGTATAGTACAGATTGGGCCTAAGTCCACTGCCAAGGATTTGAACCCCAAAGGGAGAAGGGGAAGGGAATGAACCCAGGAAACAGCTGGTTATGGGCATTTATTATGGAAGCCAGAGAACAGAAGGACAACTGGAAAGGAACTTTATGGATAAACAGGACTTTATTTACTGACTAGCAGCCTCATACACAGGCAATCCTCTGGAATCCTAAGGGCTGTATCCAGCGAAGTCCTACTCAGAGTAGACCCACTGGAATTAATGGACCTAAGTTAGTCATGCCCATTCACTTCAATCGGTCTACTCTGAGTAGGACCAGCACTGGATACAACCCTAAGTAACGACGACCACAACAAAATCACTGCAGTTTCTAAATCAGTGGTTGAAATCAGTGTTGTTCTGAAGGGTCCAGTCAGCCATCTTGATTCAAAATGGCGTCCAGCTGTATCCATAGAATCATAGAATCATAGAGTTGGAAGAGACCACAAGGACCATCGAGTCCAACCCCCTGCCAAGCAGGAAACACCATCAGAGCACTCCTGACATATGGTTGTCAAGCCTCTGCTTAAAGACCTCCAAAGTAGGAGACTCCACCACTCTCCTTGGCAGCAAATTCCACTGTCGAACAGCTCTTACTGTCAGGAAGTTCTTCCTAATGTTTAGGTGGAATCTTCTTTCTTGTAGTTTGGATCCATTGCTCCGTGTCCGCTTCTCTGGAGCAGCAGAAAACAACCTTTCTCCCTCCTCTATGTGACATCCTTTTATATATTTGAACATGGCTATCATATCACCCCTTAACCTCCTCTTCTCCAGGCTAAACATGCCCAGCTCCCTTAGCCGTTCCTCATAAGGCATCATTTCCAGGCCTTTGACCATTTTGGTTGCCCTCCTCTGGACACGTTCCAGTTTGTCAGTGTCCTTCTTGAATTGTGGTGCCCAGAACTGGACACAGTACTCCAGGTGAGGTCTGACCAGAGCAGAATACAGTGGCACTATTACTTCCCTTGATCTAGATGCTATACTCCTATTGATGCAGCCCAGAATTGCATTGGCTTTTTTAGCTGCCGCGTCACACTGTTGGCTCATGTCAAGTTTGTGGTCAACCAAGACTCCTAGATCCTTTTCACAAAATTTGTTTTAGAATCATAGAATTGTAGAGTTGGAAGGGTCTATGAGGGTCATCTAGTCTAACCCCCTGCAATGCAGGAATCTTTTGCCCAATGTGGGACTCAAACCTACGACCCTGAGTTTAAGAGTCTAGTGCTCTACCAACTGAGCTATCTTGCAGCGGCCGAGCTATCTTGCAAACATGGAAGAAAGCCTGTGTGTTGAACTCAGGGACAGTAATTGGAAATTGAAAACTATCTTAAGAGGTGTCCAAATGCACATTAAACGGACAAACAAGATTCCAAAATATACAGCGGATGTTTTAATCCAGGAACGGGGAGCCGGTGGCCTTCTGGATGTTGGTGGATTCCAGCTCCTATCAGGGATGATGGAAATTGGAGTCCAGCAACATATTGAGGGGCACCGGCTCCCCATTCATGCTTCAAGTGCCATCTATAAGCTCCCCACTGCACCTAAAATCACCTTCTTGCAGTAAGTTCACACATGCATTGTTCACCCTTCATTAAGTGAATATGCCAAGGGATCACACAAAATCCACATTTCCAGGGGAGGGAATCGCACATCACTGCCCATAGGTTGGTTTTTTACTTATTTTATGTGTTTTATTATATTTTTATACCCCACCTTGCAAGGATTTCCCCTTACCAACAACCTTGTGGGGCAGTCTAGGCTGAGATCTTAAGTGCTGCTTAGGACTTTGGGGCAGGATACTTAAGTGGTGTTGAACCAACTGGAAACGCCGACCCAAGAGCTATCAAATTCAATATATTTATGACTGAACAAAGGCCAAGGAGGTCCAACTCAGTCATGTTTGACTTCAAATTGAGGAAACTTACAAAAAACTAAGGAATTAGTATAAATAATTTTGAAAAGGAAAGCCAAAGGGGTCAAATCTTTGTCCCAAAGTGGGGCGGCACCAAAAACATCAATAACAGAAAGCTCAGCTAGAATAAATTGGAAAGGTGCCACCAGGATGCCAGCGTGGTTAATGAGCAGAGTCAAGGAAGCTATTGGAGGCAAGGAGGCATCTTTCAGAAAACGTAAGTCTTGTCCAAATGTAGGAAACAAAATGGAACACAAACTTGTGGCAAAATAAATTCAAGCAGACTCTATGGGATGCTGTTGGGTGGGGGGAGAGAGAATACAAGGAACACATTGCTTAAAATGTAAAGAACAACAATACACACAGGAAGTGTAAATGACCAGCAGACTTTGAAAAGCTGGCATCAGGGGATCAAGTTAATCAATTTTGTTGAATTAAACTAAATTATTGCACGGGGTTGGACTGGATGACCCTCAGGGTCCCTTCCAATGCTACGAAATAGTTCTAACTGGATTTAGAATATATGTGCAATTAATTGTTCCTGTTTTGAATTTGATTGTGTTATCTTCCTTAGTGGGTTGTGGAAACCGCTATTCTGAATAATGCTTTTCATAGGGTAGGGGGCGAACTTATGGAACCAAGAGGGCAGCGACCCGAAAAAGTTTGGGAACCACTGCACGAGCCCAAGGTCCCCTAAGGAAGCCTTATGGCTGAGTGGGGATTTGATCCCGGCGGTCATATTCAGTGCTAGTCCTACTCAGAGTAGACACACTGACGTTAACGGACATGACTAATGTAGGTTCTTTCGTTTCAATGGGTCCGCTCAGGCTGGGAGTGAATTGACTACAACCTCGGATATTCACAGTCTTAGCCGGACGCTCAAACCACGACACCAGAGTCCACTGTGCATAGAAGTGAGTCATTGGTGCCTGTAGGTCTTTGGGGCCTACTGAACACTGTGCTGCCCTCCCTCAAAACAGCTGCTCAGTTCAAAACATGGCTTCTGTTAAAAATCAGTTGCCGTGGGGGGACCTGTGGGATCTGCCCGGAATGAATCCGCTTATGCCTGTTCAGACTAGAGGCTCCCGTGAAACCTTTGCCACAGTCAGAGCATTCGTACGGTTTCTCTCCCGTGTGGATTCTCTGGTGTGTCACCAGCTTAGGCCTCCGGCTGAAGCCTTTCCCGCAAACCGAGCACAGGAACGGCTTCTCTCCAGTGTGGGCTCTCTCGTGGACGCGGAGGTGCGACCTCCGGCTGAAGCCTTTCCCGCACTCGGGGCACTTATGGGGCCTCTCCCCCGTGTGGGTTCTCCTGTGCAAGATCAGGTTCGACTGCTGGCTGAAGCTCTTCCCGCACTCTAAGCAGGTATAAGGCCTCTCCCCTGTGTGGGTCCGGTGATGCTTAATAAGGTTTGCTCTTTGAGCGAAGCTCTTCCCACACTCCGAGCAGATGTAGGGCCTCTCGTCGCTGTGGGTCCTGCGGTGCCTGCTGAGGCTCGAGCAGTCGCTGAAGCTGGTCCCGCAGTCTGGGCATTTGTAGGGTTTCTCCCCCGTGTGTATTCTCTGATGACTGACAAGGTCGGCTTTCCGGCTGAACCTCTTCCCACAATCCGAGCACTCGTAAGGTTTCTCTTCCAAGTGCATTCTCCAATCTTCACCATGATCGCTTCTGCAAAGCTGCCCACACTCAGTGCAGAGAGCCGTCCCTCGCCTTTGAAGATTCTCTGGGGGTTGGTTGTTCCATTGAATTGTTTGCAACAGCCTTGAGGACAATGAACTGAGCTTTCATTCTCGGGTCCACTTCCCATGCGGCTCTCAGAGGCTTCCCAAAAATCAGGATGGGGAGAAATGTGCTGGTCGCAGCTCCCTGACGACATCCAATATGGCTGCACGTCTCCAGAGACTTCTGTATGGGTCTTCTCCTTCCTCAAATTACTTTCTAGAATACAAAGGGGAGAATGCAGAAACTAAATGATTCCCTGAACAGTGGAAAAGGGATCCTCAAATCACATTTTAATAAAACAACAGGAGACATGAATAAAGAAGATATCCTTGGATCTCCATGTAGAACTTTATTGACATCCAAATCAAATACTAAGAACAATACATCCATGCCCTGAAACAAAGATATATCTGTTTGAGAACGGGGATTTTTTGTTAGCAGAGATATATATGCTGACATACATATAAATGCAAAGAATTAAAATGAGCAGAAAAGGTATATTACAGGTGTTATTCAACTAGATTTTATGCAGAGCAGAGCCAATGAAATTAACGGACCAAACTTAGTCATGCTCATTCATGTCAATGGATCTATTCTGAGAAAGCTGAATCCTACAATGGGTCTATTCTGAGAAAGCTGAATTCGGCAAGCAGCAAAATTAGGGTGGGGGGAACACCTCCTACCAGAACCGTATGCCAGATTCATCAAATGTCTTCTGATGAAGCTCCTAATTGGAAACTCTGAATCCAGTAACAGAAAGGGTCCTTACCCTGCATGGTAACATCCAAGTCCTCCTCTTGTTTGATCTCCTTCAGGGCTGGCATCTGGCACAAGTCCAGGGGTTCCGCTTCTGCCGTAGGAAGGCAATCTGGCTTATCCCTGGATGACCTCATTACCTGAAACAGAATTGAGAAACAGCATTTCATTGACAGATGCATATATATTTAGTTAAGGGAAAAGGCAAGTTAGGCAGGGGAACGTAACAGAGGAGCGGAGAAAGCAGGTAAGAGAAATGTTTTTCTCCCTGTGTCTCGTACCACTAGAAACTCGTGGGCTTCCTCCTAGATCAGTGGTTCTCAAACTTTTTTCTCTGGGCCACACTTTCCAGAATAAAAATGTGCTCACACACCGCACCACATTTTTTTGTTGATAAGAAATACATTGGAAAACGTTGCTAGGATTGTCCTCAGTATCACTTGATGCTCTTGGTCTCATTCTGAACCTATGCACATTCTGCAAATTATATAAAGGTAAAGGTAAAGGTACCCCTGCCCGTAGGGGCCAGTCTTGACAGACTCTAGGGTTGTGCGCTCATCTCACTCTATAGGCCGGGAGCCAGCGCTGTCTGCAGACACTTCCGGGTCACGTGGCCAGCGTGACAAGCTGCATCTGGAGAGCCAGCGCAGCACACGGAACGCCGTTTACCTTCCCGCTAGTAAGCGGTCCCTATTTATCTACTTGCACCCGGGGTGCTTTCGAACTGCTAGGTTGGCAGGCGCTGGGACCGAACGACGGGAGCGCACCCCGCCGCGGGGATTCGAACCGCCGACCTTTCGATCGGCAAGTCCTAGGCGCTGAGGCTTTAACCCACAGCGCCACCCGCGTCCCGCAAATTATACACACCCACACACACACACACCCACACACACCCACACACACACATATATATATATATATGAGAGAAGAGCCTGATGGATCAGACCAGAGACCCATCTAGCCCAGGATCCTGTTCTCACGGGGCCAACAAGCTGCCTCACAAGCAGGATCTGCGCACAAGAGCCCTTTCCCCTTCTGTTTCTAGCAAATGGTGTTCAGAAGCATTACTGCCTTCCACTATGGCGGCTGAGCACAGCCATCATAGCTAATGGCCATTGAGAGCCCTCTCCTCAATGAATGCGTCTAGTCCTCTTTTAAAGTCATCTAGGTTGGTGGCCATTGCTGCTTCTTGTGGCAGCGAGTTCCACAGTTTAACTCTTTCTTTTGTCTGTTCTGAAACTTCCAACATTCAGCCCATGAGTTTTGGCATTATGAGAGAGGTCAGGAATCTCTGGCACTGAGCTCTGACCCTTCCATCTTGATGAGTGATCTGAAGAAGAAGAAGGAGAAGAAGAGTTTGGATTTGATATCCCGCTTTATCACTACCCGAAGGAGTCTCAAAGCGGCTAACATTCTCCTTTCCCTTCCTCCCCACAACAAACACTCTGTGAGGTGAGTGGGGCTGAGAGACTGCAGAGAAGTGTGACTAGCCCAAGGTCACCCAGCAGCTGCAGGTGGAGGAGCGGGGAATCGAACCCGGTTCCCCAGATTATGAGTCCACCACTCTTAACTACTACACCACACTGGCTAATCCTGCACAGAGAAGGACAAAACCATTACTCAGTGTTCTTGTGCCCCCAAAGTGGCTTACAGTTAAATAATCTCCGGAATACAACTCCCATCATCCAATGCCTATTGGTCACACTGGCTGCGGCTGATGGGAGCTGAAGTCTGGCAAAGATCTGGAAGATCACCGTGGTTTCCCATCCCCGAAATAAACAAAATAAAGCAAGGCTGGACGAGGACCACTCAGTTATCAAACCCAGCTACCTCCTTCTTTTCTTCCTCCTCATCCTGCCGCTGCCTCATCAGGAAATCTTCCGCCAAGGCCACCGCCTGGGAGCAAGTCTCTGGGTCCCAGGCCCTGATCCTGCTCTGGATTTCTTTCGGGAGGAGGGCCAGGAACTGCTCCAAGACCACCAGCTCTACAATCTCCTCCTTGGTGCGCGTTTCAGGCTTCAGCCACTGGTGGCAAAGTTCGCGGAGCCTCCGGCACACGTCCCGCGGCCCCTCTGCTTCGCGGCAGGAGAAATGTCTGAAGCGCAGCCGCAGGGTATCCTCTGCGACCGTCTCCCCCTCCGGAGCCTCTTCCTTCACTGTCCCACTGCCTGCCCCATCTTGGGGCACCAGGGTTTTGTGCGACTCCTCCGAGCAGAGGCCTGGCGGGAGTTTGGTGGCCCTTTGTCCTCCAGCCACCTCCCTAACGCAATTCTCCTGCGGTGTGGGCCGTGGCGGCTGAGAGCGGCCCCCGTCCAAATGAGGGGACTCGAGCGCCTTCACAAAGCCCTGAAGTCGAGCTTCCCAGCTCCGCTGCACCTCTTCGTTGCCTTCCCAGTTTGCCTGTGGCGGAACGGTTCTTTCCCAGAATCCTCTAGTGCCCCCTTCCTGGATCTCAAGAACCAAACTTTGCTCCGTTTCTGGGTCCGGCTCCTCAACTTTAATTGTAGTCCAGGGGGCAGACTTTAACTTTACACCCAGTGTCGATACATCACCCCGCTCTACTGCCATTTTCCACTGCCGCCTGACCTGCAGGCCTGTTGTTTTCAGAGAAGTCCACAGGTAGAGAAGGTGGCTTATACAGACAGAATTTAGGAATCTGGGTTAAGGAACGGAGGCTTCTCCCTAATGGAAGGGAAAGACAATGACACATTAGACAAAACCTACAGCCTCAGGACCCACCTGAACTAAACACTTAAGGCAGTATAGGAGGAATCTTGGGAAGTGGTTTGTTAATGGTGCTAAGTATTGTTATGAGAAACCCTACCCCCTTCATGGATCTACAATTCCCGGAATGGCTTAACAATCAATCCCTCTTCCCAAAGAATGCTTGACAATGGAGGGAGAATGTTGCCATTGTGGCTAGGAGACATCAATGGTCTTATCCTCTATTAATTTACCTGATCCTTTTTTAAAGGTATCTGTATGTCAGTGGCCATCATTACACCTTATAACGAAGGAGGATTTCCTCTTTTCTCATTGCTACAAGTCAATTCAAGATCCCTTTTAAAAGCTGGGGAAGCCAGAAGTTGCAGGGCAAGCTACACTGCCTGGCATTACTTTTTCTACACAGCTGTGAAAAGTGCTGGAGCCCCACGAGCTGCACCTGCTGATCTTCTTCCTTCTACACAACCATTAATGGTGCAGGAGCCCTGAACGCCACACTTGCTGAACTTCTAAGCAGCTATGACTGGGTGTTATCAGCATAGTGAGGGTATTTTGCTCTAGAATACTGCTGTAAAGTTGACTTGCATTTTAACATATCACTTTATTTTACAATGTATATTTTAAACTGCCAATTTATTGATAGTTTTTTTTTAAGATCAACATGTTTTTAAATATGACTTTTATTGATACTTTTTAACGTCTATTTTATTTTAAGTAAGCTGCTCGGCAGTTTTTAAGATTTAAGCCGTTTACAAGTCCCATTAAAATTAATTAATGTTGTAGAAGCCCTGACAGCTGCACCTGCTGAACGGCTGTCTTCTATGCAGCTATGCAGAGCTACGATCAGTTTTATCAGAACAGTGACAGTATTTTGCAAAGCCGACTTGTATCTTAGCATATAATTTCATTTTACCATGCTGATTTATTTATATTTTGCATTTAAAAAAGATCAAACTTTTTTTAAAAAAACAAAACGGACTTTTACCGGTACTTTTTAATGTACGTTTTATTTTAAGTGAGGTGCTTGGGATTTCTTTTTTAAGATTTAAGGAGTTCACAAATCCCATTAAAAAATGATAAAAAATGTTAAAGGTGCACCTCCTCCTTCTGGAGCCCTGGCAGCTGCACCTGTTGAACAGCCACTAAAGGTCCCCTGCAACACCCATTCCAGGTGCAGGACCCCTGCCCTCTTTCCGCACCTGGGCACCCTAGTATCCTAAGGGGCGCGGCGGGGGCTTTGAGACCCTTCCCTTCCCCACGGAAGGGGGTTGCGGCCAAAGACTGAACCCGAAGAAGCACCTGCTTGCAGAAGACCAGCCCGGAGCCGCCTCCCTCCTCCGCTCCTCTCAACCCGCCGGGAAGAGGCTCCCGGAGTCCGCCAAAGTCCGCCTCCCCGCGGTGGGCGGGCCAGGAAGTCCCCGCGCCGCCGCCAACGCAGCCTCCTCCTCCTTCTCCCCGGCACGTGCGGGTGGAGGGCCCGGGGGCGGGAGGACTGTCCGCTCTAGCGCTCCGAACTCGCTGCGCTTAACCCTGAGAGAGCCGCTCCGAAGCAGGGCGGAGCTCCCTTCTGCCTTCCCTCTGTGTGTTTGCGTGCTTCTGCCTGAGAAAGAGTGTGCGTTGTGTGTTTGTGTGCTGTGTTGTGCAGCAGGAGGAAGAGAGCTTGTTGGTTTCATGATAAAGCTCAACCTGCATGGAAATGAAGAAAGCTCTCCTTTGCTGCTGCTGTATTATTATTATTATTAATTATCAGGCCAAAACGTTCCCTTTTAACCAGGCCTTTGATCTGATTGACATCCTATACCCTTTTAAAATGTGAGGGTTTTTTTTTGGGGGGGGGGGTTATTGGATTGTTGTTTTTATTTTGATTATACGTACGCATTGTGGTTTTTATGTTTTATGCGGGACTTGACATCTTTCCGCAGGGCCTGCAAGACAGAGCTGTTCCACCTGGCCTTTGGTTTGGACTCGGTCTGACCCTTATGTTTCCCTCCCCTTATGGTCTTGATTTATCAGCTACTTTAAAATGAGGCTGCATTTTAAGTTGCATTTTTACCTGTATTTTAAATTAGTCTCCCCCCCCTTTCCCCCCTATTATGTTTTTACTGTAATTTTATTGGTGTTAGCTGCCCTGAGCCCGGCTCTGGCTGGGGAGGGCGGGGTATAAATAATTATTATTATTATTATTATTATTATTATTATTATTATTATTATTATATTTTCTGTGAACTGCCCTGAGACCTCTGGGTATAGGGTGGTATTTAAATTTGATAAATATCATCATCACCACAACCACCATCATCCTCCTCCTCCAGAGGAGCCTTCATCTGGATCAGGCCAGTGGCCCATCTTGTCCACCTTTCTGTGCTCACGGGGGCCAAACCAGTTGCCTCTTCTGGGGACCATAGAATAGTAGACTCGGAAGAGACCCCAAGGTCATCTAGTCCAGCCCCCTGCATTGCAGGAATCTCAGCAGAAGCATCCATGACGGGTGGCCATCCAACCTCTGCTTTAAACACCTCAAAGGAAGGAGAGGCCACAACCTGCCGAGGGAGACCGTTCCACTGTCAAGCAGCTCTCACAGCCAGAAAGTTCTTCCTGGTGTTTAGTCGGAATCTCCTTTCTTGTAACCTGAAGCTGTTGGTTCGGCTCTCACCCTGTGAAGCAGCAGAAAACTTTCTGACAGCAGAACGGACTCCCTCAGAAGGTGGCGGACTGAAATTTTTAAACAGAGGGCCGTCTGTCAGGGATGCATTAGTTGTGATTCCGGCACTATTTTTTTATTTCTTTTTTGGTGGGGGGAGGTTCAACTAGATGACCTCTGGGGATCCCTTCCAAGTCTGTTGTTGTTTAGTCGTTTAGTCGTGTCCGACTCTTCGGGACCCCATGGACCAGAGCACGCCAGGCCCTCCTGTCTTCCACTGCCTCCCACAGTTTGGTCAAACTCATGCTGGTAGCTTCGAGAACACTGTCCAACCATCTCGTCCCCTTCTCCTTGTGCCCTCCATCTTTCCCTACATCAGGGTCTTCTCCAGGGAGTCTTCTCTTCTCATGAGGTGGCCAAAGTATTGGAGCCTCAGCTTCAGGATCTGTCCTTCCAGTGAGCACTCAGGGCTGATTTCCCTAAGAATGGATAGGTATGATCTTCTTGCAGTCCATGGGACTCTCAAGAGTCTCCTCCAGCACCATAATTCAAAAGCATCAATTCTTCAGCGATCAGCCTTCTTTATGGTCCAGCTCTCACTTCCATACATCACTACAGTGGTACCTCAGGTTAAGTACTTAATTCGTTCTGGAGGTCTGTACTTAACCTGAAACTGTTCTTAACCTGAAGCACCGCTTTAGCTAATGGGGTCTCCTGCTGCTGCCGCGCTGCCGGAGCACGATTTCTGTTCTCATCCTGAAGCAAAGTTCTTAACCTGAGGTACTATTTCTGGGTTAGCGGAGTCTGTAACCTGAAACGTATGTAACCTGAAGCGTATGTAACCCGAGGTACCACTCCGAGGTACCACTGTACTGGGAAAACCATAGCTTGAATTATATGGACCTTTGTTAGCAAGTTGATGTCTCTGCTTTTTAAGATGCTGTCTAGGTTTGTCTTCCAAGTCTACGATTCTACAATTCTACAAAAGGCAGCTTTTGATTTTCCTCACTCGGAGTATAAAAAGCAGAGTCCCTTCTAACTGGGGGGTGGAAAACATTGCACACCTGTATCCTCCACCCTGGCCTGTGAAACTTTCAGAGGTCACTACAGGCTCCCCCGGAAGGTTGTGGCCTCTTCTGCCTTGGAGGCTTTTAAGCAGAGGTTGGATGGCTTTCTCTGAGATTCCTGCATTGCGGGGGGGGGGGTTGGTCTAGATGACCCTAGAGGTCCCTTCCAACTTTACGATTCTGTGATACCTCGTGCGGCCACCAGAGGCCCCCGGAGGTTGCGCTGGGAAAGACAGGAAAGGGGATCCCGTCCTGCCTTAAATGATCGACTCTGCAAGGGGCTGCCTGGGCTTCCCATGCATTTTATTTTGCACGGCTTGCGGGGCGCGGCTGTCTCCCTGGGGGAGCCTTGCTGCAGCCCCTGGTAAGTTTCACAAAATGCAACTAAAGGGTGTGTGCATTTTGGGGTGTGGGTGGGTGTGTATCTGAGATCGGGTTTGCAAAAAAAGGGGGGAGGATGCCAGCAATGTGGCCTGTTTATTTCTGTGTCCAGAGGTAAGATCTGAGGCCCTGAAATTGGATACAAGAAGCGTTATGTCCTTGTTGCCATTTTTAATCTCCACGGGTCTGTGGAGCGAAGGAACTCACAAGCAAACTGATCCGCGGGTGCATTGATATTTATTTTAATTTTTACCTGCTCAGGGCTACGTTTCTAAGGAATAGGGGTGCAGAGACAGGACTGCAGTCCAGCCCTTTTCTTTTTAATAAATGCCAATCCACTCGAGATATTTCTTTCTTTTTTTAAAGCCAATTCACTTCAGATTTATTGCATTTTTTATATTTTTTATTGCCAGAGGCAGATGTTCAATAGGGTGAAAAAGAAATCAAGAAACCAGGCTGTATGGAACGGTCTGGGGTCTGCTGCATTTGGGAACAAAGGCCATCAGAAAAGACAAAGGCATGAAAAAGGCTGTCAGAGAGATTCCGTGAAAAAACATTTCTCATATCTTGCCTCTAATGTCTTCTGCACCTGGGGGAGAGATCTGCTCAGAGTTTTTGGATTCAGACCTTTTTAGATTCAGACCTTTCTAAATAAATATAAATAGATCTGTCTTCCAGGCACACTTCTTTCTTACAGGGAGGGGGGGTGACCCCAGGCCCCCCAAAGGTTGTGGGGCTCCCAACTCCCATCAGCCCCTAGGCTGCGCAGCCTAGTGGTCAGGGGGGGGATGGGAGTTGTAGTTCAACAGGATCTGGCGGGTGCTAGATTGTCAGTTTTTTCTGGACTGGAGTCGTTGTCAGGTGCCCAAAGTGTTGTTTCTGTTGTTATTATGGTTTTGATTACATGCCTAGTTACCTCATATCCTTTCCTCAGTTTTTGATCACAGTATATTAAAGCCGCCCTGTGTATGTCGTGGATTAAAACGGGCCTGGCTGAGCTCTACCTGGTGTTGGACTTCAACTCCCATCAGCCCCTGCAACCAGTTTGGCCAACAGCAGGGGCTGATGGGAGTTGGAGTCCAGCACCGCCTGGATGGCCACACAGACTCCCTCATCCATGGTCCAGGAGCAACATTTCCGCTTTGGGTTCAAAAGGGCCCAGGGCTTCTGATTTCATGAATGGGAAGGAGACTGCTGAGTCTTAATCAGCAAAACCAGTTGCATATTATTATTATTATTATTAATGCAATTTGTATACCACCCTCCATCCGCAGATATCAGGGCAGTTCACAACATAGAGGCCTGTAGTAGGAATGCCAGCCCTGTAGCCTGACTCCCGAGTCCTGGCTGGTTTGTGTCCTTCTGCTCCTTCATGGAGTTCAGGGGCAGAGCAACTGCTTCTATTATTATTATTATTATTATTATTAATTATTATTATTTTCATTTGTTTATTTTGCTTTCAGATCAGGGGCAGAGCAACTGCATCTATTATTATTATTATTATTAAAGGTAAAGGTACCCCTGCCCGTACGGGCCAGTCTTGACAGACTCTAGGGTTGTGCGCCCATCTCACTTAAGAGGCCGGGGGCCAGCGCTGTCCGCAGACACTTCCGGGTCACGTGGCCAGCGTGACGAAGCTGCTCTGGCGAGCCTGCACCAGCGCAGCACACGGAAACGCCGTTTACCTTCCCGCTATAAAGCGGTCCCTATTTATCTACTTGCACTTTTAGGGGTGCTTTTGAACTGCTAGGTGGGCAGGAGCTGGGACCGAAAGACGGGAGCTCACCCCGCCGCGGGGATTTGAACCGCCGACCATGCGATCGGCAAGCCCTAGGCGCTGAGGATTTACCCACAGCACCACCCGCGTCCCTCTATTATTATTATTATTATTATTATTATTATTATTATTATTTTCTTTGGCTTATTTTGCATTCAGATCAAAGTTTTACAGTCACATATCCAATATACAACATAAAAACAAGATTCCAAGGAATCTCTTGGACTTTCCTCCTCCTCTTTGTGGGTCCTATTGTTAGCCATTTCCTCCTGCATCTTTCACGATAATCCAAATCTTTTACATCTCCGTTATGTCCAAAATTCATCATTAAACTACAAGGGTTATTCCAGTCCTACTAACAGTTCTAACGGTTTACAGTGGTTTTTAAGATAAATTATAAATTTTCCCTATCCCTTATTAAAATTCTGGTTTCTGATTCTTCCAGTCATTTTTGCCAATTTGGCATAATCCACCAACTTAATCTGCCAATCCCTGGCATCTCCCATTAAATCAGGAACAGGGTACCTGTGACCCTCCAGAAGTTGCTGGACTCCAAATCCCATCAGCCACTGTAGCCAACGGTGAGGCATGATGGGAGTTGTAGTCTAATATAGCGGCAGATTCCAAAGTGCAGGGTCCCTTCATGAGTGCCCTAGCCACTCCCCCTTACAGCCACTCTCCTCCTAAGATGATACAACCTTCATATGCAGTAATCGTTTAATTATGTGAACCGCCCTGATATCTATTGGTATAGGGCGGTATACTAATTTTAATAATAATAATAATAGTAAAGGTAAAGGGACCCCAGACCATTAGGTCCAGTCGTGACCGACTCTGGGGTTGCAGCGCTCATCTCGCTTTATTGGCCGAGGGAGCCGGTGTACAGCTTCTGGGTCATGTGGCCAGCATGACTAAGCTGCTTCTGGTGCACCAGAGCAGCGCACAGAAACGCAGTTTACCTTCCCGCTGGAGCGGTACCTATTTATCTACTTGCACTTTGACGTGCTTTCGAACTGCTAGGTTGGCAGGAGCAGGGACCGAGCAACGGGAGCTCACCCCATCGCGGCGATACTAACTGCCAACCTTCTGATTGGCAAGTCCTGGGCTCTGTGGTTTAACCCACAGCGCTACCCGCGTCCCTTAATAATAATAATAATAATAATAATAATAAAAAATAAAAATTAGGTATGCACTGTGACAGTTGGTGCAGTTTTCTGTGTTTTGCCTTTCGGCTAGATCTGCTATTTTACCTGTGCACATACCTGGGCAGATTATTGGGAGCGCTCCCATATAGAATCATAAAAATGTAGAGTTTGAATGGACTTCCCCATGGTCATCTAGACCAGTGTTTCCCAACCTTTTTTGGGCAAAGGCACACTTGTTTCATGAAAAAAATCTCGAGGCACACCACCATTACAGCCCCGTGATGTCAGCGCGCAGCGTCACGCCGGGAGGGACGCACGAAAGTGTAAGATTCAATTTTTTCCCCTCCCCCTTGCCTTCCTTCTGTGCCAACCGCCAAAAAGCCAAGAATCGCGGGACCGCCGGCGGAGGGGGGGAGGGCGAGCGGAGGCAGCGGCGAGCCCCGTTCCTCCCCATCCGCCCCATTCCGTGCAAGGAGCGCGAACAGGTGTGAGAAGGGGGTCAAACCTGCGGGTCGGCGCCGGGGAACCTCCAAGCTTTGGGGGTGGGGGGAGGAGGCAGCAAAGCGAGGCAGGAAGGAGAGCGCGGCTTGGCGAAGTACTCGGCGGCGAAGGCCAGCAGGTCCGGCGGCCGGTGCCGCAGCACCTCCACCGTGTAGCCCTGCAGCAGCTCAGTCAGACCCGGCGGGATCTCGATGCTCATCTTGTAGCCGAAGCGCGCGGGAGACTCAACGGACGGGCCCGGGAGAGAGAGAGAGAGACACACAACGGAGAGAGAGCGGGAGTCCCTGCTCGCCGTCGCCACCGCTACAACTACTGTGGCGGTTGGTCGTGGTCGCTGCCGCCGCCGCCGCCCACCTCTATCTATCTCTCCCCCTCAGCTTTCTACGCGGGCCTCGAGCCGGAGGTGGGGGGTGGCCGCCGCCGCTTTCTCCGCCTCCACGTCCTGCCTCCTCCTCCTTGAGCCCTCCGTCAGCCCTGAGGGAACCGCCGCGCTCGCACCGCCGCTCTCTGACACGCGAGAAAGAGAAAGGAACGGAGCGGCGGGGTAGTCGGGGGAAGGAGGGGCTGGAATGGAAGCGCGAGGCGAGCTGCGCATGCCCAGCAGGAAGCGGCGGAGAACACCACAGAGAGAGAGAGAGAGAAGCAAGGGAGGGCGGGGAGTGGGCGGGAACACGCTTCATGCGTCACAATAACGGACAAGAGGCGCTCGAGGGATAGATTAGGACCTAATTTGACTTTTACAAAAAAAAAAAAAATCTTTCGAATTTTCCCCGCGGCACACCAGGCAACGTCTCGCGGCACACTAGTTTGCCGCGGAACACCGGTTGGGAAACACTGATCTAGACCAACCCCCTTCAAAACAGGGATCTCAAGCATCTGTGGCAGATGGCCCTCCAACCTCTGCTTTAAAAAAAACCTCTGAGGAAGAAGAGTCTGCTACCTTCTTTCAGAGTGACTTAAATTGTGTGTTCTGTGAAGCTCCATTGTACATAAAAGAACTTGTAGCTTCTCCCGAACCCAAAGCTCCTTGTGTTTACAGTCTTTGGAGCAGGCAGGGGCTAAAGTTGCATTCTGGGGTCTCCCTTTGACGCTTCGTTATACAAGGGCAACCACCGTAAGGTCACTAACAGCCCTGGTCAGTTGACGGGTTCTATGGATTTCTGGATATTGCCATTTCTGATGTCAGAGTTGTTGTGTCCTTGTCCTCTTCTTTCATGTACGGACTGGCCTTCTTGTTTTAAAAGGTAAAGGGACCCCTGACCGTTAGGTCGAGTTGTGGACGACTCTGGGGTTGTGGCGCTCATCTCACTTTACTGGCCGAGGGAGCCGGCATACAGTTTCCGGGTCATGTGGCCAGCATGACTAAGCCGCTTCTGGTGAACCAGAGCAGCGCACGGAAATGTCGTTTACCTTCCCGCCGGAGCAGTACCTATTTATCTACCTGCACTTTTATGTGCTTTCGAACTGCTAGGTTGGCAGGAGCAGGGACCGAGAAACGGGAGCTCACCCCGTCGCGGGGATTCGAACCGCCGACCTTCTGATCGGCAAGCCCTAGGCTCTGTGGTTTAACCCACAGCGCCACCCTCTTCTTTCTTTCTTTCTTTTTGTCCTCTTCTTTCGTGTAGGGACTGGCCTTCCTGTTTTACGTAGAGGCAAGTGACAACATATGCCAGCTTCGCTGGAATGTCTGTGAAGCAAGATTCTCAGCCTATTTCTCTTTCCCCAAAGACACTATAAGATGGCGCTGGACTCCAAAACAGGTAAGACTCTGGCTGTGACAAGGATGAGGGAATCTTTATCACCTTGAGGGCCACATTCCCTTTCAGGGGCCACATCCCAGTGGTGGGTGAAGCATATAATACCATTAAAACTGCCCCCCTGCATCTGTGCCAACGAGGAAATAATCTGAATGGCACGGTGAACTAATAATTCACCGTTGACTGAAACAAGGATGCGAAGCCTGCATGGTTCTCCAGATATTTTGGTTGGACTACAACTCCCATCATTCCTCTCCTCTGGCTATGTTGGCTGGAGCCAATGGGAGTTGTAGTCTAGCAATTTGTGGAGGGCCACAGATTCCTTGTCATTCCTACTGGAATGGAAAACAATTCAAGCTTTGGAATACAACTTAGTAATAGTCGTCTTTCTTCTTTGGTGACCACTCTTAGCCAAGCTAGACTGTCTTCCATGAACACGGTCTTAACGGTGTGTCCGCAAGTGACTGTGGAGGCCAATTCTGGATCCACACGTCCTTCCACAGTGCGAACATAGGTTTCCGGGCAGGAGTTGATCACGGTGAGGGTTTGCCAAGCATGCCTTCCTCATAGCACATTTCTGCCTTTTGTCTTGAGTTCGAGTGTCTTCAAAGCCCATGACACCTTTGGTAAAGGCTGTTCTCCAATTGGAGCACTCGCAGGCCAGTGCTTCCCAGTTGTCAGTGTTTATACTACATTTTTTTTAGATTTGCCTTGAGAGAGTCTTTAAACTGCTTTTGTTGACCGTCAGCATTGAGCTTCCATTTTTAAGTTTAGAATAGAGTAGTTGCTTTGGAAGACAATAATCTGAACATGACCAGTCCAACAAAGTTGTTGTTTTTGTATATAAAACACACAGTAGTTTTTTTTTGTATATAAAGCAAACAAAAAAATTTCCCAGGACTTAATGCAATATATTTTTTGTCTACAAAAAATTGTTGTGCCCAAAGAATTAAATGAAAAACTTCTCTAAGGCAATTCCTTTGATTGGATCAATTTCTCTTGCTGGTAAAAGGATGCAAGCTTTTGGATTTCACAGATTAGTTTCATTTGGCTGAAGAGATTGGCAATTTAAATTCTCAGCTATATGAACAATAGAGGGTGCTATTAATACTACTACTACTACTACCAGCCTTTTAGAAGACATCTGAAGGCAGCCCTGTTCAGGGAAGCTTTTAATGTTTGACAGACTATTTGACAGACTATGTTTGACAGACTATTTTAATATTTTGTTGGAAGCCGCCCAGAGTGGTTGGGGAAACCCAGTCAGATGGGCGGGGTATAAATAATAAATATTTATTATTATTATTATTATTATTATTATCACTACTAGTAAAGGTAAAGGGACCCATTAGGTCCAGTCGTGACCCACTCTGGGGTTGCGGCGCTCATCTCACTTTATTGGGCGAGGGAGCTGGCGTACAGCTTCCAGGTCATGTGGCCAGCATGACCAAGCTGCTTCTGGCGAACCAGAGCAGCACGCAGAAACGCCATTTACCTTCCCGCTGGAGCAGTACCTATTTATCTACTTGCACTTTGACGTGCTTTTGAACTGCTAGGTTGGCAGGAGCTGGGACCGAGCAACGGGAGCTCACCCCGTCACGGGGATTCAAACCCCCGACCTTCTGATACGGCAAGTCCTACGCTCTGTGATTTAGACCACAGTGCCACCCACATCCCTATCACTACTAGTACTACTATTAATAAAATTTGTATACTGCCCTATACCTGTAGATCTCAATTAACCTATGGAACTCTCTGTCACAGGAGGCAGGAATGGCCACCAACCTTGGTGGCTTTGAGAGGATTAGACAAATTGCTCTTGTGCTCATGTCCTGCTTGAGGACTTGGCCAGTGTGAGAATAGGAGGCTGGACTAGACCGGCCACAGACCTGATCCAGCCAATAGGCTGTTACCTTGTTAAGAAGAAGAGATTCATTTTTTTAAAAAAAATTGTTGTCGTAGGTTGTGCTTCCATGACTGAGAGTGAAGAGATTTCCTTGCACCTCGAGCTCTCCGAACCCGGAGCCTCACCTGACAGAACCAAAGAGAGCATTTCCACGTCTCATGTGTCGGAAGATGCATCTGTAGATCTCACAGGTAACCCAATGGATCAGAGGAGGAGTGTATCCCAAGAAGGACTCTCGGCAGATGTCAGTGAATCGGAAAACGTGCAGGCGCTTGGGAAGGCTGGCAGACGCAAGCTGCGCATCGGGGAAAGTACAGAGCCTGTTTCCCATCGCCTTAGACGTCAAAGAATCTACAAACCGGAGAAAACCCGCAAATGCACGCATTGCGGGAAGCACTTTGGCTGGAGGGCAAACCTTTTGGGAGAGAAAACCCAGGCAAGGGCGACATGCTCAAGTTGCGGAGAGCTGATGAGTCAGAGCACGCAGCTCCCAGCAACCAGGAAAATGCGCAAGAGGGAGAAAGCGCATCAGTGCACTGCCTGCAAGCAGGTCTTTGTGGGGAGCTCAGAACTGGCCGTGCATAAGAAAGTCCACCAAGCAGAAAAGCCGTACAAGTGCCTGGATTGCGAGAAGCGCTTTTGCTCCAAGGCGAACATGCTCCGGCACCACCAGATCCATACCGGACAGAAACCGTATCAGTGCTTGGTTTGCGGGAACACCTTCCGGCAGCAAGAGCAGCTCATTGCGCACGAGAGAACGCACACGGGCGAGACACCCTTCCACTGCGTGGTGTGCGGGAAAGACTTCAACAGGAAGTCGGTCTTCCTGACACATCAGAGAATCCACACGGGCGAGAGGCCGTACAAATGCTCCTTCTGCAACAAGCGGTTCATCCGCAGGGCCTACCACGCCATCCACGAGCGAATCCACGCCCGGGAGAAGCGCTACAAGTGCTCCGAGTGCGGGCAGAGCTTTAACTGGAATTCGGAGTTCATCGAGCACTTGAGGACCCACACCGGAGGGAAGCCCTACAAGTGCCTGGGCTGCGAGAAGCGCTTCGGCTGGCACTCGGACCTTATCAGACACCAGAGAATCCACACGGGCGAACGGCCCTACAAGTGCGCCCACTGCCGGAGGGGCTTCGTCCAGAGGGCGCAGCTCCTCTTGCACGAGAGGACCCACACCGGCGAGAGGCCCTACAAGTGCTCCTACTGTGGGAAAAGCTTCAGCCGCAGCTCGGTCCTCATCAGGCACCTCCTGCTGCACACCGGGGAGAAGCCGTACAACTGCCTGGACTGCGGGAAGAGCTTCTGTGAGAGGGCCCAGCTGGTGTCCCACGAGGTGACGCACGCCGAGGAGAAGCCCTACAAGTGCGCCGACTGCGGGAAAAGCTTCAGCTGGAAGTCGGCCTTCACTCGGCACCGGAGGATCCACACGGGAGAGAAACCCCACAAGTGCCCCGATTGTGGAAAGAGCTTCATTCGAACCACCCACCTTGCCACCCACCTAAGAACCCACGGGCGGGAGGCAGACAGCGATGCTTTAATCGGGGAGGACATTTTAAATGAAGGGGGCGGCTTAATGTAGAATGAAGAATCCCTGCGAGGAACGGTGGCTTAGACACGAGGGCAAATAGGGGGGTGTCCCGCCAACCTCGCCAGCCAGACTCCCAACTACCCGACTTCCAGTCCAGGGGGTGACAGCGCCGTCTGTCAGCTTCCTCTTTAGTCTCCATGTTTCCCTGGAAGAATTCGGCAGGGAAGATGGCAGGACAGAAATAGAATTAGTCGGCTCTGCCTGACATTGGCTCTCTGGCGCCACCTACTGTCAGGCTTCCACCAAGCTCAACAGTCACCATCCACAACTGCATACAGATGGGTAGCCAACTCAACATTCGAAGCTTTGGGCTGGCATAACAGAGCGCGACCCAAAAGCCCTCTGAACAAATCGTATCTCAGCCGCGAGTTCACTAGTTGGCCTTGGCCAAGCGCCCACTTTTAAGAGCCTCGACTTCCCCATCTAAACACTCGTGTGAAGAATTCTGGGAACTGTAGTTTGTTAAGGGTGATGAGAGACATTAGGGGACACACACACATCCCGGCCACCTATTCCCCTCACAGGGCTTACAATTCCCAGACCCAATTTTCCATCCTTCTTCCCAGGGAGTTGTAGCTTTCTGAGGGAGAATAGAGGGGATCTCCCAACACTCTTACAGTTCCTGGGGTTCTTCAGGAGAAGCCATGGCTGTTTAGAGTGGTACAATGCTGCTTTAAGTGTATCGTGCAAGTGGAGCCGCACTGAGAGAATATATCAGCAGTATGCGTTTTGTATGGCGAGGGAGAAAGAACCAGGTTTGGAGGGCAGAGAAGTGTGGGGTGGCTGAGCTGGGGTGGCAGGGCAAAAATTCACTGCAGCCCATCAAAGGAAACTCCGCGCGAATCTTCAGGCCCAGAAGAGGAGCCATCGTTGCTGTTGCAGCAGACGGAGATTCACAACTAGTTCCCAAGATTTGGTCTTATGAGGCAAAGGCGCTAGTCCTCAACATAAGAATGTGATGTATACGTCTCACTGTTGTTATTATTTTGTTGGTTATGTTCTTCTGTTTCCTTGTGTCCAATGCAGTCTTTACTTCTCTTGAGCTCATCTCTTACATTGCTTGATAAAGCTAGTTGGTTTACTCCTTTCTCACTCTGCCCCCTGTTAACGGAGCTGGGATACAAAGAACATGCAGGTTTTATGCTGAGTGTAAATGTCACGGACGTGTGCTTGGAGTGTATCTGACACACAGACAACTTTCTTCTTAGGATCAGGACCAAGGAAAATCTGCTGGTATATTTTTTAGAAGAACTCAGATTTGCACAGCACTGATTGGCCAGTACTTGTGTCAGTCCTGAATTTTCAGAGTTGGGCTGTTGCACAGCATTGACTGACTGTCACTCGTGAAACCACAAACCCTCCCTGACTGGAACAGACTAAAAAGCTGCTCATTTAATCTGGGAGTATTATTATTATTATTCAATCAAAACATTTCCAGTCAACCGATCTAACTATTGGATGAACTTAATGTTGCAGCCCTAACTGAAACACACACAAACATTAAATAAAACAGATTATGTATTACAGCATTCTTAAACCAAGGCGTGCTTTCCCATAGCAGCGGGGGACTCAGCTTACAAATGGAACACACTCAACAGGAAGCGAAACATGTTCTTATTCCAAGGCAAAGTTCACAAACCAAAACACTTCCGGGTTTGCAGCATTCTTAATCTAAGTTGTTCATAAACTAAACTCTTCTTAAACCAAGGTACCACTGTATAAAAGTCTTTTAAAACAATCAAAAACAAAAGCAATCTCAGCAGCAAGGCAAGTGGATTACAGAAACGGAGAGCATGTAACACAGGCAGAATTCAATGGGTGCTACAGCGATGGGTGTAAGCTTGCTTTTTGAATTTCTGCATACTGTGGTGCACTTGTTAGGAGACAGCTAGGGATATTAATACTACCTGCCAGCTTTCAATATAAACTTCTATGGCTGTGGAGAATCAGAAGAGATGTGGTAAAGCTTGACGTATCCAAAATGAGAGCAGAGCAAAAGGAGGCTAGTAATGCCCACCTCAAATAAGAGATGAGCATCAGAATGACAAATTATTCTCCGGCTGAGATTAAAAATTTGTGCCAGAGAAGAATTTCAAGATTAACATGCCCTCCAGTTATTCAACACATGACAGTTTTGAAGGGAAGGGGTGTAGCTCAAGGAATGCCTGCTCTGGATGCAGAAAATCCCAAATTCAAACATAGGCATCTCCAGTTTAGGTCTGGGAAGGATTTCTGCTTGAAAACCTGGACAGCTGCTGCCAGTCAGTGTAGACAGTATTGAGCTAGATGGACCAGTGGTCTGACTCCGCATAAGGCAGATTACTATGAAGCTTCCTATCTCCCCAAGAGTTCCTCTGGAACCACTCCTAGCCACACAAAATGGAAATTTATTTTTGACAGGTTTTATGTGGAGAGGAAATTTGGAATGGGGTGTTTGGTTCAGGCGGGTAGACACTTGAATTTTGATTTTCTTGGCGTTGTGGCTCTGAGCCAAGACTGTTCAGAGGCAAAGACCAAAAGCAGCACAGGGAGGGACTTGGTTCCTAGTCCTTCGCAGATAGTCCGTTGCCATAGGATCTTGCACTGTCCCCTGGGAACTGCTGCCATCAGCCTCCAAGGATTCTTCCATAACGCCTGAAGGACACTCCTTGCCCAAGTCGCTGCCCTTCCAAACCTCACCAGCTGCAACTGGCACAGCTTGAGTTTCCCAGGTGCCAGCATAGCCTCTAGATGCGGGGTTGCGACTCCCGTAATCCCTGACTGGGAGTTGTAGTTCAGCAACAACTGGAAGGCTGTGGGCTAGTCCCCACAGCTACTGATAGTACAGTGGTACCTCGGGTTATGAACTTAATTCATTCTGGAGGTCCATTCTTGACCTGAAACTTTTCTTAACCTGAGGTACCACTTTAGCTAATGGGGCTTCACAATTTCTGTTCTCATCCTGAAGCAAAGTTCTTAACCCGAGGTACTATTTCTGGGTTAGCGGAGTCTGTAACCTGAAGCATCTGTAACCTGAAGCGTCTGTAACCCGAGCTACCACTGTGCTGAAGAGAACATCATGGGCTGAAGGACTGTTCTCCATTAATTTACAGCATTAAATCAGTTTCATCCACAGATGGGATCTTGACTAAAAATGAGGCACCCAACACATCCCACCCAATGGTGGTTTCCCAAATTGTGGCTGGGTTTCGCTTTGTGCTCTTTAAGAGACCCCTGTTCAAATCCCCACCCCTCTCTCAGCTATGAAGCTCACTGGGTGACGTTTTGTGAGGTAAGTCACCCTCATCTACCTCAAAGGATTGTGGGAAGGATAAAATGGTGGGGGAGCCTTTAAATCAGAGCTTTCCAAACGGTGTGCTGCGACATGTTAGTGCGTCGACTGCAATGTTAAGGTCTGTCACGCGAATGCTCCCGAGGGCTAGAAAAGGGTGAGTTTAACCTCTGGTTTGCTAGTAAAACTGAATTGCTGTGTCACAAAATGGTGCATGTCTAAAAAGTGTGTCACCAACATGACAAGTTTAGAAAGCTCTGCTTTAAATTCTTTGGAAAAAGAAGTCTATAAACAAATTTATTCCAAGTTGGGGTGTTTGTGTGTGCATCTTATCTATGGGACGCGGGTGGCACTGTGGGTTAAACCACTGAGCCTCTTGGGCTTGCCAATCAGAAGGTCAGTGGTTCAAATCCCCGCGACGGGGTGAGCTCCCGTTGTTTGGTCCCTGCTCCTGCCAACCTAGCAGTTTGAAAGCACGTCAAAGTGCAAGTAGATAAATAGGTACCGCTTCGGCAGGGAAGGTAAACGGCGTTTCCTGCGCTGCTCTGGTTCGCCAGAAGCGGCTTAGTCATGCTGGCCACATGACCCGGAAGCTGTACACCGGCTCCCTCGGCCAATAAAGCGAGATGAGCGCCGCAAACCCAGAGTCGGCCACGACTGGACCTAATGGTCAGGGGTCCCTTTACCTTTTACATCTTATCTACATAGACCAAAATAATGTATATATTTTTAAATCATTAGGACAGGGAAGCCCCCTCCAGATGGCGCTCCGACACCCATCAGGCACAGCCAGAAAGGTTAGGGATGCTGAGAGTTGGAGTCCAACGGTGTGGCAAGACAACCAGCGTGGAAACATCCTGCTTTTGCAAAGATCATTTTATTCAGCTTAAGAAATAAAGCAGAAAAAGAGGCAGAAAGGTATTCAAAACAAAGCATATTTGTATTCAAAGGAAAGCTAGAGATGAAGAGAGAGAGAAAGCGAACAATACCATTTTATAAAATAAAACAAAAATCAGCAAAAAGGGATTAAAAAGAGCTATGCACAGGCAGTCGGTTTGTTTGTTAGGGTTGTTCAGTAATGTCTCCCCTTTCTTGCTAGTAGCGTCCAATTTTTCAGGGGAAATTCATGGCCTTAAATAAACCCTAGAATGCAACACAGGAACCTGTGGCCCTCCAAACATGGTCTACAACTCCCATTATTCGTGACCATTTTCCATGCAGGCCGGGGATGGGAGCTGAGAGTTCAAAAACATACTGAAGGCTGCAAGCTCCCTGTGTCTTGCGTACACCAGTGAAGATTCTGGTGGTGCAGATATAGATCAGGGCTGGGGATCCTGTGGCCCTCCAGAGGTTGTGGGACTACAAATCCCAACACCCTCCAACCCATGGTGGCTGCAGGCCTGATGGGAGTTGGAGTCAAACAATCCTCTGGAGGGTCACAATTTCACCTCCTATATTGCTGGCAGGAATGAAATGTGTGATTCTTCCTTCTGCGGTTATTTTTTTTTAGGTAACCACACAACTTTCAGACCACAGATTCCTATATTTGGGATCTAGCACAGCGGTAAAGCACCCCCGTCAGATGCCACACTCCAAATACTCCTTTCCCAAATACCAGCATAGATTCTCCACAGTTATGTGTTTATCTGAAATAAGTGACAGAAACATCACACGCAGAGGGGGAATTACTTATTTGAAAGTGCACCTGTGCTTTTCTCCCTCTTTATAATCTTTTTCCAGTATTTGAAGCACGTGGGTGCCAGACTTCTAAATCCACTCTTCTCCCTGGCTTGAAAGCTCGTCATGTAAAGGGAGAATCTGACACTGAATTTCTACTTTCAAACGAGGCATCTGGGCCATGAGATAATGGTACCCACATTTGAAAAAGGGACTACTTCTGAACCAAGTCAATCTAAGTCAAGATTTGTTGAACTGGCGGTAGAGGGGAAAGGATCACTCAAGATCCCCACCCCCCAGTCAAGCAGCTCAGGAGTGGCGTGAAGGGGGAGGATGACCTCCTGTGAGGCCTTCAATAGCCCTTTAGGGCCTTCTAAGGCCAAGATGAGGAAATGGTACCCTGCTGTTGGGACTACAGCACCCAGCATTCCTGGGTCACCCTTGTGGGGGCTGATGGGAGATGCAGTTCATCAACATCTGGAGAGCCAAAGGTTGCCCCAGGAAGCACGGCAATGCTCAGGGATGACCAGAGTCCAACAAAATCTGGAGGGCACCAGGCTGGGGAAGGTTGCTGAGGAGAATTATTTGCTGGAGAAACTCTTTGTCCCTTTCACAGAAACTCCCATGATTCCTTGGGCTGGCGCCCAATTGTCTAAAACTGGTGTGAGGAACTACAATTCCCACCGCCCCAGTAAGCATGGCCAGTAGCCAGGGGATTGTAGTTTCAGCAACACCCAAAGGTTCCTTGAACCTGGTATGAGGTGCTGACAGTCTCCCGAAGCAGAAATGGCAAAAACGGTTGTCCTCCCAGGTGTTGCTGGACTACAACTGCCATCATGCCCAGCTGCTCTGCAGGCTGGTGTTGATGGGAAATGGAGTCCAACACCATATTTAAGGCCAGAGGTTCCCCATCTCTGCTCTAAGGCCTTGTCTCCACAAAGAATGGAATGAGGTGGCAGAGTCCTGAAGTGTAAAATGGGGCTGTAACTTCTAAAAAATGATTCCTCACTTAACAAACTCCCTTGCAAGAAGTGGTCTGGGCTAGACTCTTTCCCCCCCTTATCTGGTAGCTTTCTCCTTTCAACCAAACATATCTGTGTGATTCAAAAGGCGGGGGGAGTGGTGTTAAGACCCTTTTCTGGATTCTACCACCGCATCCTGCTACATCTCTAAATTAAAGTCCAATTCTGTGCCCATTCCAGCAGTCTGGAGATGTTTGAAAAATGTATGTGAGACAGGATAAAAATGCCCCAGCAAAAAGCCTACCCTCAGCGTGACAAAGAGGAGACAGTTCACAGACGTACATATATATATATAATAAATAATATCACATACACCGCTAGTTGAGACTGCTACCCAAGCCAGATGCTAAACAAGACAAAATATTGAATTCATTTCCTACAATCAAAACGTAATTCGTCTAAAAAAGAAAGCCAGTTTTGCTTCTGTTCCTGGTCCATTCCTATTATGCTGCCACGGTCCCAACCCATTTCTCAGGGTAAAATGGCCGGCATGGATTCGAATCCTTTGCCGTGTGCCATCACATGGACCGGCACCTCGGCCGGCTCAGATTGGCAGTCAGTGCTATTCCCATTTTGCCACCCCAGCTTGGGTCCACCTTGTCCTGATGGGCAGTTCTTCATTAACTTATTCTGCGGAAAGCAAAGCCCAGGCGAAATTCATTTGCCAAATCCAAGCAACGTTGCAGTCCGGTTAGGGCTTGACAGCGAGGGGGTTATCTAGGCCAAGCCACAGCATGAATCAATGCTAAAATGGCTGCCCAATTGCCACGCCAAACCCTCCTCACCAGATAAAAACAAAATGAGGCAAGAGTTGAGGGCGAGACTAATGGGGTAGGCCTCAAACCACATCACCATCCCTCCTATTATACACAATCTTCTCTCCCCCCACATACCCCATGCTTTCCTCCTCCAGTGGTCTGAAAATGTCCATTGTTTTGCCACAAGGAGAGAACCGTTAGGCATTTCGGGCCTGTTCTTGCACAGGCCTTTTCCTGCTTCCTGGGAGGCCGATGGAGAACAGGGTGGGCTGTTGCTAGGCAGCAGCCTCACACCTCTATACCGCTCCTTCCTTACTAAGCCCAACATGGAGAAGGGAGAGCCGTAGGGCCAGAAAAAAGAGGAGAGGAAAGAGAAGGAAGCAGTTAAGCCTAAAATGGAGGGGAGGGCCACCCATCCTTTTCACAGCTATGTTTGGAGACGGCAACTGTGCCCACCGGCTCTTCCTTCACTGACCAGACCAGAGTTCACCCTCAGCTGTGGCACAGTTCTTTGACGCCATCTTTCACCTGAAAGAGGGTGCAAGAGGTCACCGGCCAAGAGGAAAGGAAAAAACGCTTCTCATATCTTCGCCTCACTTCCGTCTTCTCCTCCTTCTCCTTCTGCCGCCTCTAGGTAGGCCTCTCCGGAGGCTTGTGCGAGGTCGGCCATCAGGCCCAGGTTGACGCACTCGGGGCATTTCTCCGGGCTCTCGGCGGCCGACGAGAAGATCTTCCCGCAGTCCGCGCATATGAAAGAGTTCAGGCCCAGGTGGCAACGCTGGTGCCGGATGAGGGCCGCCTTGGCCTTGAAGCAGCTCCCGCACTCGGGGCAGACGTAGGGCTTCTCGCTGGTGTGCGTCCGCTCGTGGGCGATGAGCTGGGAGCTCTCGCGGAAGCACTTCCCGCAGCCCAGGCACATGTAGGGCTTCTCGCCGGTGTGGGAGCGCTCGTGCGCCACCAGGCTGGAGCGCTGGATGAAGCCCTTGCCGCACTGCAGGCAGATGTAGGGCTTCTCGCCCGTGTGGGTCCGCTCATGCTTGCTGAGGCTGGAGCGCACGCTGAAGCTCTTCTCGCAGTAGAGGCACTGGTAGGGCTTCTCGCCCGTGTGGGTCCGCTCGTGGGCGACGAGCTCCGAGGTCCAGTTGAAGCCCTTGCCGCACTCCAGGCACTTGTGGGGCTTCTCGCCCGTGTGGGTCCGGATGTGGGCCATGAGGTGCGAGTTCTGGCTGAAGCTCTTCCCGCACTCGGAGCAGGTGTAGGGCTTCTCGCCGGTGTGGATGCTCTGGTGGCGGATGAGGTCGGCGCTCAGGCTGAAGCCCTTCCCGCACTCCAGGCACTTGTAGGGCTTCTCGCCCCGGTGGCTCTTCTCGTGCAGGACCAGCGTGGCCTTCTGGCTGAAGCTCTTCCCGCACTCCAGGCAGGTGTACGGCTTTTCCCCAGTGTGGCTGCGCTCGTGGATGATGAGGCTGGAGCGCTGGTTGTAGCTCTTCTCGCACAGGAGGCACTTGTAGGGCTTCTCGCCGGTGTGGGTCCGCTCGTGCAGCTGCAGGTGGGAGCTCTGGCTGAAGCGCTTGTCGCAGTGGGAGCACTTGAAGGGCTTCTCGCCCGTGTGCGTCCGCCCATGCGTGTTCAGCGTCGACCGCTTGCCGAAGCTCTTCCCGCACTCGTTGCACTTGTAGGGCTTCTCGGCCGGCGGGGGTTTCGCGGCGCCCGGGCTCAGGCCCACCACTCCATAGCCCTTCGCGACCTCTGGGAGACCCTTCTTCTGCAGGAAGCTCTGCTGCACGGCAAACTCGCTGAAGTCGAAGAAGCCCCTGCCGAAAGGGATGGAAATTGGTCCCCGGCTGTCCAGAGAGTGGCCCTCGGATGCTCCGGCTTGGCCGTCCCCCCGGGGGAAGCTGACCTCGTCTCCCCCCCACATCATCCGGTTCAGCTGCAGCCGCTCCGAGCTCCCCAGAGAAGGCTCCCCTTCCTTGCTGTGGCCTAACCAGCCGGCTGCAGGGACGAGAGCGTCAAGACAGGGAAAGAATTCATCAAACAGAGCAGCAGCAGCAGCAGCAGCAGCAGATTTGGCTAAGCAAAGGTAGATATTATTGCAGGGGCTGTTTAGAAGCAAGGTTCTAGTCTTCATGGGTTGTATTTCAGACCCACTGCAATCTACGAAAGCGGCTAAGTATGAGGTCTATTCATTTTAGCAGATCTACTCCTGCTGCAAAGATAGAACTGAAATCAAGCCGGCAACTTAAATTAAATTACCTAGTGGCAGCCAGTCCATTAGGCTACTCCATCGCCGCTGCTGAGGAAGCCTGACTGCATTTGGCCATCCTTGAACTGACATCAACTAGCAGCCAATCCATCAGGCTACCTGAACTCTTGTTCAGCCTGGACACTGAGGTCCAGCTCCGAGGGCCTTCTGGCGGTTCCCTCCCTGTGAGAAGTGAGGTTACAGGGAACCAGGCAGAGGGCCTTCTCGGTAGTGGCACCTGCCCTGTGGAACGCCCTCCCATCAGATGTCAAGGAAATAAAACAACTATCTGACTTTAAGAAGACATCTGAAGGCAGCCCTGTTTAGGGAATTTTTTAATGTTTGATTGTGTTTTTAATATTCTGTTGGGAGCTGCCCACAGTGGCTGGGGAAACCCAGCCGGATGGGTGGGGTATAAATAGTAATTATCCATCTGAGCTAGTCATTATAAGAACTGCAACTTCAAGGAACAGGTGCAGTAGCTTTTTCCTTCCTCCCCTCCCCACCACTTTTTCCCACATGAGTTGTGTTTTTCGGATTGAGGGCCGACCCCCTTACGACTGATCTTTCCAAGTCACTCTTGAGCATTTTCGACTAAAGAGTGGAGCAAAAATGCTTCAAATAAAAGGATTAGAAGCAAACTAGGCAGCTCACTGCAAAGATCTAAGCAGCTAAGGGACATGCATTTAAAGGGCACCCACCCTGGGACCTGTTGTTCCCCCTTCAGAGCTAAAAATCCCCAAACCCTTAACAAACAAAGGTCTGTTTGCCCAACGCTGAGTGGAAGATGCAGACCTTTGAGTCTCAGCATCATCTCCTGGAAGGCAGGGCTGTTCTGACAGAGATCACCGTATTTCCGTTTGAGCTCCTCAAGTCTCTGCTCCAGAGTGTCCTGTTCTTCCCTGAGGATTACGAGGCAGTGGGAGAGAGGGGGGGGGGGATACGTAAACAGAAAATGAACCGTGTAAATAGCTTTATGTTTGAACAGCAAAAAAAGACTCTACATTCATAGAAAGCCTCCTTAATGCACAAGAGGTCCTGGGTTCGTATCCCTGCCAAGACCTTCAGCACAGAATACCTCAGAGAAGTGTTTTATTTTTCCGTTCCTTTGCAGGAAAGATGGGCAACAGGGGTAAGGCTGGACTTCCATTGGCCCCAGCCAGCATGGCCAGAGATGGTGGCAAACTGGGATTTCAGCAACATCTGGAAGATCGTAGGTCGTTCTTATCTTACGACTCGACCCTGATTTCCCAGGCCCCAATACCCTATGCCGGCTCTTAATGGGCATGGCTATTGTAGGCCCATTATTTTCACTTCCCAGGATTCTTTGGGGGAAGCCATGGCTGTTTAAATTGGCACAATACTGCTTTGAATGGATGGTACGGATGGGGCGTCAGATGTACACAAGTATGACGATTCCACCCCCACCTCTGGGGAAAAAGCCCTAAAGCAGGCAGATTCTTACCTGATTTCAATGCTTCCTGAATCCTGCAAGGGAAGGGTGTTGGCGGAGGGGGGGGGGAGAGCAGGAGGGAGAGAGAGAGAGAGAGAGAGAGAAAGGTACAATCCATGAGCTGTACAGGGAAAAATTGTTCACTTTCTTACAAAAAATGAGAGCCCAGCAAGAGCAACAGGCAGCAGGTTGTTGGCCTCTGTCCCAAGGGGCAATGGAGTGCACCTCCAGGGGTGAAGTCAAACTGCAGTACCAAAGTGACCTTCCCGGGACGCAAGCCTGTACGGAGGTCCTGGGTGAAAATTTTAGATTATTCTTTTGCACTTGTTTTTAATGTTTGCTTGGAAAAAGGAGCTAGTAAAAATGGACAGCAGCTGTGGAACTCACCGACACTGGACAGTTACTGCAAAGGTAACACATTTTCTTTATCCTTTTTTAAATATATAGATAATAAATATTAAGAGAGGTTGAGAAAGTGCCAGGGGCACCAGTCACAAAATGGCCGCCATGATGGCGTGGTGTAACACTGATGAGCAAAAAAAGAAACAGGACCACAAGATGATGTGGGAATGCCCCCCAATCAATGGGGAAAGAGGCACCCACATCAACCCCCGCCAGTCACAGGGACCTCTCCCCTGTTCAGTGCAGAAGGGAAGGAGCCCAGTCCTCTCATCCAATGAAATGTGGGCACGTTTAAGAGGGAGTTTTTAATTTAGGAGAAGCTGAGGGAGTGCAACAGGAATTTGGCAAGAAGAGCAAAGGGTCTCCTGTACATTGTGGATTTTTCAGAGGATTTTTACAAAGGCCTTTTGCAGGTGCCACTGCTGGAGGCACTGGCAGGCATGCTGGCATCCTTGGGCAGTATCCTGGCAATCCCTGTAATTTATGATAGCCGGCTTGGCTCCATGTTTTGGGTCAATAAGGAATCTGTCCACCCGTGTCAGATCAACTATTGAGTCTGCTTACCCTACTGAACTCCACGCCCAAAAAACCTTACCACTATCTCCTCACTGCTGTTTCCTTCTTCTCCATCCTCTTCCTTCTTCTCTTTCCTCAGGTCCATCGCTTCGGAATCCGGCAACACCTTCCAGTGAATAAAATTACTAAGTTCAATACAGTGGTGCCCTGCAAGACGAATGCCTTGCAAGACGAAAAACCCGCTAGACGAAAGGGTTTTCCGTTTTTCGATGCGCTTCACAGGACGAATTTCCCTATGGGCTTGCTTCGCAAGACGAAAATGTCTTGCGAGTCTTGAGATTTTTTTCGCTCCCCCCCCCCTTTTTCTAAGCCGCTAAGCCTTTAATAGCCTTTTAGCCGCTAAGCGCTAAGCCTTTAATAGCCGCTAAACCGCTAATAGCGCTAATCCGCTAATAGGGTTGCTTTGCAAGACGAAAAACCGCTAGACGAAGAGACTCGCGGAATGGATTAATTTCATCTTGCGAGGCACCACTGTAGAAACCAACAGCCGCCGCTTCCTCCTTTTGAGTTTTAAAGAAATATGCAGCTCCAGTTACTATGAAGATTAAGAATTCGTGTGGCCAGACACTCTCCTAGCGTCTCTCTTCAAGTTTCATCCCAACCTAGCCACAAAGTCTATCCACATTTTCAGCCACTTCAGCTATGATATACAGTTGTACCTTGGATCCCAAATGCCATGGTACTCAGACGTTGTGGCTCCCAAACGCCGCAAACCTGCAAGTGAGTGTTCCGGTTTGTAAACTCTCTTTGGAACACAAATGTCCTAAGGGGCTTCCAACTGGCTGCAGGGGCTTCCTGCAGCCAATCAGAAGTCGTGCTTTGGTTTCTGAACGTTTTGGAAGTCAAACGGACTTCCGGAACGGATTCCATTCGACTTCCAAGGTATGACTGTATACGTGTTGGTACTAACATGTAAGACCCTCATACAGCTCAGGACCACTTTACTTGGGAGACTGCCTTATTCCTTTTACACCCAAGTAGATCACGCTGCAGTCTGCAGGAATGTTTTTATCCTAAAATTCCCAAAGGCCTCAGGAGTAACCTGGCACAGGGCTTTTAGTGTGGCAACCCCTGTTCTGTGGAATAGCACTCTGGTCGAGATACAACAAGCACCCACTTCCTGGAAGCGATCAAATCTCATTTTGGTTCCAACAGTCTTTCCCGGCTGACTAAATGGGTCTTCACCACAAGCAGCCACTTGTTAGGGCTTTAAGTTTAAAAAGCATTCGTTGTATTCTCTTCCGCGCAAATGGCCTTGGGATGCTGGTTTAGCAGAGATTAAAAATCATTGTGCCATCAAACTCATGGCCCATAGTGGTGATATGTGCAGTAGCCTTAACAGGGATTGCACTGATTGTATCATGGCTTATTCCTGCAACTGCTTGCCAGTTGCCAAGCCCAATTCAAGGTGACAAACAAAATTCCCAAACTCCCTGCCCCCTTTTCCCAGCGGACCACTTGAAAATTACTGATGGTCTTGGAAGGACTACTGAATAATTTTTCCTCCTTTATTTCTAGGAAAATATTTCTGACTGTATTTCCAGGAAAATTTAGCCACAACCCTAAAGAAAAACCACCCCTTCGGCTGATCAGTACCTCGTTGCTGTTTCCGCGTTCCTCTTCCGTAGGATCCTCGATCATCAGTTCGTCGCTGCTGCTTTCCTCTTTAACCTTCTCGCTTATGATATCTAACGGACTCTCCTGCAATTTCTCGTGCTGAAAATGGGAGGTGGGAAGGAGAAAGAATGAAACCCTTAGGATCTGATTTGGAATAACATTCCTGATCACCAAGGCAGTTTCTGTGGTTTGAAAAGGTTTCAGCAAGCAACAGCAGTAGGGTCATCATGGAGTGTTCCCTTATGAATCCGGCTTGCATTATTCTGTCTGCCATTTGTGCAAGCGTCGGTCACAGGCTCCACCTTCTCTGACAGAAACCATGGTTTACTGGGCACGTGGCTGAATTACTAGTTAGAAATCAGTCCTGGTTTCATAACTGGGGATTAAATCAGTTTCCTGGTATGGGTGTAACAGGAAACCATGGTTTAAACAATCCACAGGCCAGCACCTCAACTCGATGTACATGTACCTCTGCATCTTGCAGTGACATAGATATACTTTGAGTAGCTTGGAAATCAGACACAAGCTATCTGATAAGCCCAGAAAAATGGTCCACTGTCTGAAACAAACCACCAGGTAGAACCACTCACACCTCAGACCAATTTTGTTGTGTGTTTTTGTTTTACAGTATTATTACATTTAACAGCTTACACAAGGGATGGGGAACCTTCCAGATGTGGCTAGGCCAGGTTTTATCTCCTACTTCACAGATGTGGAACCTGTTGCCCTTCAGACGTTCCTGGACTACAAGTCCCATCATCCATGGCCGTGCTGGCTGGGTGGCTGATGGGATTCAGAGTCCAACAGCATCCGAAGGGCCTATAGGAATCGTTTACTGTTTAGCTGGTTCTTAGGCTTATGTTCCGATTTCCAAAGTTCCTTCTATACTGCAGGAGTTGATAAATCATAAGCAACTTCTGCAATAATTCTGATGAAACAGTTTGCTACTCTCAGACCAAATAATTTTAGCAATGACTAATAAAATGACATCAAATGCAAACAACTGCTATTTTTATAAAGCGTATCTGGACAGAAGTTACGTGGACGCATTATCAAATCCTAAATTACACAAGAATGTGCTTGGCTCACATCTGAGCGTGCCAAAAATATCAACGCTAAAAATAGCATCTGCTGTGAAGACAACTAAGTAATCTATAAAGCCCTATTCCAGGCTTTCTTTTTAAAGGAGGAGGTGAGACATAACCGCCTTGGTTCAAGATGGGTAAGTGGTGGAGAACCAGTCTGGTATGGCGGTCTGGCTTGCCTCTGAAGGACGTCACAAATAGGAAGATACCTTGCATTTCCATTCCAAGAAGTTGAATTGTGCCTAACTGGGGTGAGGAAAACCAGCTACAGGTCCTTTTCCAGTTATCTCTGGAACCAGCAGCATTGGTGCAAAGAAGCGTTTGAAGTTCTCCAGGCTTATTTTGCACCTGGTTATTGGCCACTTGCAACCAAGTAAAGATTCCAGGGTGCCAGGATGGCGCCTGATGTCTCCACCATCTGGAGGTGAATGCCTAGGGATCACTGGATCTTGACCGTTTTCACATCCTGTAGAATTATATCTGCTATATTTTATCTGCACAATTGGAATGAATTTCAGGAACGCAAACGTTGCATTGAAAAATACAACTGTCGAGCTGCCTGGCCCAGAAATGGCACCTAGGCGTTCTGTTTTGGCAACTGTAACCCTGGTTTTTAAGGAGCCGTTTGACGCCTAGCTTATATATTTGAGTTTTCTAATGTGGCAAGACCACCTGGAAGAATTTTACCCTTATGATTTCTATATATTCATATATCCATATATAACCATATATCCTAATGATGATTTTTATATATCCATGTATCCTAATGAGGTTTGAATCGCTAAGGCTTAAGCAGAACTAAAGTGCTTAGATCTTAAAAATCCAAAAGTTGCCCTCTGCCCCATTTCTCTCTCTGCCCTGCTATTCTGCTTGAAGGAAACAACAAATCTGATGTTTTGGCATTTTTCTATAGGGATCTTTCTCCAGACAGCTTCTCAGTCTCAGAAGATGGGGCTGAGTTAGGTAAAGGTAAAGAGACCCCTGACCATTAGGTCCAGTCGTGACCAACTCTGAGTTAGGGAACAGGAAAAAACAGTCAGCCACAATGCAATGTTCTAAGTCAATAACAGAAGGTGGGGGTTATTCAGGTTTCAACGGTCAAATAGGTTTCTTTTCCTCTTCATTGCTGAAAATTAGGGTAAAGGGCAAATTGACGCACCATCAGAGGAAAGCAGAAGTATTCTTTACATGGGCAGAGGAAGAGCTTATGCGCACTCATTGGTTTGCTTTTTGCTGCAACATACGACTATGTCATGTTTTATGCTGTTTGTACTCAGGTATAAAACCCCAATGCACATGGGTTTCGGTGCCCAGGCTCTGGAAATGATTCCACTGGGTCTTTATTGCTCAGCAATAAACTTTGCCTTCTTTTCCTCCACTGCTGCATCTGTCGATTCTTGGACACAATCTGAGTGGGCCACAGGCATTCCATATATACTTGCAACACTAACACTGGTGCAGAGGTGGGAATATTTCCCCCAGTTACAGAAAGCTGCCTCATACTGAAGGAATGGGTTTCTGTGTAGTAAGTTTAAAAATTGACTCAATTCCCCCCCCCCCCTTTTGTTCTTTTAAAAGAGAGCACTTTTAAATGCGTAAAACTTGAACTGTTGAGCAAAACCATAATAAGGACACAACTGCATAAACAGTTCTCTCCTTTATCAGGACAGGCAAGGGATGGCCTTGGCTATCCAGGGGAACAAAGAAAACACGTCAGAACTTTATCTTATGTGCTGACCACAAAATACGCGCAAGACCAATGTCCGGGGAAAACGCCAAAAGCGTGTTCCCGGGGATTATGATGTCTTCCCAGATAAGAGTAGGAAGAGGAAGATCCTTTGATGGTCAGAAGTACAGGAAGGAAGATCCTTTCATGGTTGAGAGTACCAGAGCAGGAACATATGTGATGTCAACCTGTGTATACAAGTTGACGTGGCTGGGGAAGGGGGAGAGGATGCCTGGAGGATATAAATACTGCATGAAACTTCTCATTATTTCTTTGTACTTGCTGTGGACTCACCACGCAAGTGCCTTCTGCTATCCGGAGAGCAGAATAAACTCTTTCTTTGAACCAACCTCGGTGTCATTTTGACTTCCTTCCTCCTGTCCCGGAGCAACGCAGACCCAATCGGTGAATTCCAATAAGGCTACAATACCGAATCAGGACATTGGTCCAGCCACCTCAGGACTGTCTACACTTAAGGCCAGTGGCTGAGGCCGGGAACATTCCCAGTTCTTTTTGGAGATGTTGAGGATTGAACCCAGGAACGTACAAGAGATGTTCTGCTAATTGACTCTGACAGTGATGGATGACCCAAGGAAACTTGGACTGCTGAAACTCTATAATTGCTGAATAAATCTGAAAGTAATAAAACTGTCAGCATGCTGTGTCGTGTGTGGGAGAGACATACTCATTGAGAGGGAACCCTTGAGGCAGCATTAGTTCTGCCTCCAGCTGAGGCAGAATTGGGTCCGCATTGACACTCTCCCCGATTCTAACCATAGTGAGGGCATTAAAGGGTCCATGTCTGTTGTCTGCCTATCTAAACTGGTTGTCTTCATTTGCCATCCCCTGGGAGCCCTAAATAGCCAATTCACACAGAGTGTGTCAGAGGAGGGCAGTTTCCCTTCTCTTCTGCCCTTTCCCTCTCCTTAGCTGACACAGCAGAGCTGAATAAAAAATTATTGGGGGTTTTTACTCTGAAGATTTGTGAATTGACAGGAAGGACACAATATAGGAAGTATATTGAATATAAAAATAACAAGTATGGTTTTTATTCGAAGTTTATTCTGATGAGAGTCTGGAAGAAGGAAAGGAGGGCCCTAACCCTAAATGCAATGCAAATAAGTCCTGTTTTTATGAGAGGGAGTCTGGTTCCTGGGCTGTTTCTTGGATCAGGATGTCCGTCTCTTGACTCTGGGCTGACTCTGCCTAATCTTCTCTTTCCCTCATCTTCTCCCCAACAGCAAATGTCACTCTGGATCCTGACACAGCCTATCTCAGGCTCATCCTGTCCGAGGATCGGAAAAGTGTGAGACTGGGAGACAAAAGGCAATCCCTGCCCGACAATCCTGAGAGATTCAACAATTGTACTTCTGTGTTGGGACTTGAGGGATTCACAGCAGGCAGACATTTCTGGGAGGTCACTGTGGGAAGCGAGGGATGGTGGACTGTGGGGGTTGCCAGGAAGTCTGTGAAGAGAAGGAGCTTTCTTCCCTTCAGTCCTGATGGAGGAATCTGGGCTGTGGAGAAGTCTGAAAGCAAGTACTGGGCCTGCACCTCCCCTGATGATCCTCCTCTGTCCCTGAGTGGGGACCTCAAGAGGATCCGAGTGACTCTGGACTATGAAGGGGGACGTGTGTCATTTTTTGACGCTGACTCAGGAGCCGAACTCTACACATTCTCAGGAGCCTCGTTCTCTGGAGAGACCCTCCTCCCATTCTTTTGTCTGGGTGGAGGTAAAACACAGCTCAGGATCTCCTGAAGACACTATATTTGCCTCACAGGCCCAGCAGAAGTTTCTCTCCTGACCAGAATGACTGATATAAAACCAGCATTTCCCTCTCAAGAGCATTTTTTTGTTTTGTTTTTTGTTTTTTATTTATTGGTTTTAATTCATTTTACAACATCATACGCTAAAACAGACAAAGAAAACAAACATATATATCACATAACACACAACACTAACAACACAAACTGACTTCCCTTCATCTCGGTTTTGGATTATATTATAAAATTTCCTATCTGCAGTTTCTTTTCCTCAGAAAATTCTTAACATCACAAGTGTTATATCGCACCTACTGTAATTTTTAGGTTTTTTACCTCTGTTTCCATGTATGCCAAAAATTTATTCCATTCTTTATTAAACTTTATGTCTTTTTTGATTTCTTATTTTCTGTGTCATTTTTGCCAGTTCTAAATAATCAAATAGTTTAGATTGCCACTCAGTTATAGTTGGGATTTTTTGTATCTTCCAATTCTGCGCTATTAAAGTTCTGGCAGCCACTGTCGCGTACTGGAAAAGTGTTTGATCTTCTTTTTGATTTCCTCTCCAATTATCCCCAGCAGAAAGGCTTCGGGTTTTTTTATAAAGGTATATTTAAAGATTTTTTAATTTTTTTTATTACTCAAGAACATTTTTTGGCAGCTTTTCTGGGACCCTTTGAGAGGATTCGTTCTAGTCACAATATGCACAAGCAACAAAACAAACAAAAATGGGTTCTTTTCCCTTCTTTTCCCTTTCCTTTCCTGGAATTTCCTCTGCAGCGGAGTTTTTTAAGAAAAAGAAACATTCCCAATAAATAATCTTTCCCTCAAAAGCCTCCATCACTCAATTGCTGTTATCTATCTTCATTAAGCATTAGTAATAAATAAAGAAGTAAATGAAAGGAAACAAATATTCATTGGCTAGGAATTGAATGCCACCTGTGTCAGTGAGAGCACCAAATTTTGGAGAGCTGCGGGTGGGATGTGGATTTTGATTGGCCTTATTTCTCTGTGGTAAACAACTAAGAAGAAGATTAAAATTTATAAAGAAGGAATCCACTATTCAGAAATTACCGTATTTTTCGCACCATAGGACGCACTTTTTCCCTCCTAAAAAGCAAGGGAAAATGTGTGTGCGTCCTATGGAGCGAATGCAGGCTTTCGCTGAAGCCTGGAGAGTGAGAGGGGTCGGTGCGCACCGACCCCTCTCGCTCTCCAGGCTTCAGGAAGCTATCCGCTAGCTGTGGGAGACCCAGCTCTCCCACGGCTAGCGGAGCGCTGCATTAATCCTGAAGCTTGGGGCGTGCGGAGCTCAGCGCGCCCCAAGCTTCTGGGTGCCGGCAAGGTCTAGCGCTCCGCTAGCCGTGTCTAGGCTGCAGATAGCAGCCTGCTTCCCGGAGCGTCGGGCGCCCTGAAAGCAGAGCGCCCGGTGCTTCGGGAACACATCCGCAGCGTGGGGACCCTTGCAGGAGTTCCCCGCAGGGCTCCCCACGCTGCAGATAGCAGCCTGCCGCCGGGCGGGTGGGGTGCCCTGAAGCAGAGCGCCCCTCACGCCAGGCATACATCCGCAGCGTGCGGAGCCCTGCAGGAGTTCCCCGCAAGGCTCCCCAAGCTGCGGATAGCAGCCTGCCGCCCGGCGGGTAGGGCGCCCTGAAGCAGAGCGCCCCTCGTGCCAGGCATACATCCGCAGCGTGCGGAGCCCTGCAGGAGTTCCCCGCAATGCTCCCCAAGCTGTGGATAGCAGCCTGCCGCCCGGCGGGTGAGGCGCCCTGAAGCAGAGCGCCCCTCACGCCAGGCATACATCCGCAGCGTGGGGAGCCTTGCAGGAGTTCCCCGCAGGGCTCCCCACGCTGCGGATAGCAGCCTGCTGCCTGGCGGGTGGGGCGCCCTGAAGCAGAGCGCCCCTCACGCCAGGCATACATCCGCAGCGTGGGGAGCCTTGCAGGAGTTCCCCGCAGGGCTCCCCACGCTGCGGATAGCAGCCTGCTGCCTGGCGGGTGGGGCGCCCTGAAGCAGAGCGCCCCTCGCGCCAGGCACACATCCGCAGCGTGGGGAGCCTTGCAGGAGTTCCCCGCAGGGCTCCCCACGCTGCGGATAGCAGCCTGCCGCCGGGCAGGTGGGGCGCCCTGAAGCAGAGCGCCCCTCGCGCCAGGCACACATCCGCAGCGTGGGGAGCCTTGCAGGAGTTCCCCGCAGGGCTCCCCACGCTGCGGATAGCAGCCTGCCGCCTGGCGGGTGGGGCGCCCTGAAGCAGAGCGCCCCTCGCGCCAGGCACACATCCGCAGCGTGGGGAGCCTTGCAGGAGTTCCCCGCAGGGCTCCCCACGCTGCGGATAGCAGCCTGCTGCCTGGCGGGTGGGGCGCCCTGAAGCAGAGCGCCCCTCGCGCCAGGCACACATCCGCAGCGTGGGGAGCCTTGCAGGAGTTCCCCGCAGGGCTCCCCACGCTGCGGATAGCAGCCTGCTGCCTGGCGGGTGGGGCGCCCTGAAGCAGAGTGCCCTGCGCGCCAGGCAGACATCAGCCAGCCCCACAAGCTCGGGGGACAGCAGGGAGGCGCAGCGCCACTATCCCGCTGTTCCTTGACCTGGTTCGGTTTCCCTGACCTGCTTTTGGGGGGGAAATAAAGGGAAATTTTTTTTCCTTTATTCCCCCCCAAAAAAACTAGGTGCGTCCAATGGTCCGGTGCGTCCGATCGTGCGAAAAATACGGTATCTGGGCTTCTGGGTGAAAATGAGGTGGCCAAATTCACTGAGGACTTTCAATGGTCCAAGGTGGTGGGAACTAGAAGGGATTGATTGTGATGATATTTCCAAACTGACTAAATGGACATAAAAATATCTAAGTGGTAAGTAATGAAATTTGGGGCAAAAGCTTCTAACTTCACTTATAAGGTAATGATGACTGAAGGTGGGGGCTGAGTGTGGAGGAAGCTTTTGAGGCCATTCTTTGTGTGCCTCCTCCTCAAGAGGCCCAGAGGGTGGCAACACAAGAAGGGGCCTTTTCTGCAGTGTCTCCCCTCCTCTTGGAGGAGGAGTCCGGGAGGGCAAGAGTTAACACCCCCCTGCCCTTAAGGAGAGTCCATATGTACATGTTTAACAGTTTAATAAATTGTTCTGTGCACACTTATGTTCAGCAAGATGGGAACATGAGCCCAAATAGCTTCATGTGGCAAGCGAGGGAGCCATATGCATTATGACTCAGGAGCCGAAATCTACACGTTCTCAGGAGCCTCGCTCTCTGGAGAGACCCTCCTCCCTTTCTTTGATCTGGGGGGATATAAAACCCACCTCAGGATCTCCTGAGGAGACTAAATCTGCCTCTCAGGCCCAGCAGGAGTTTCTCTCCAGACCAGAGTGACTGACATAAAAACCATTTACCCGCCAAGAGCAGGTTGGGCAGTTTCCCAAGGGCCCTTTGAGAGGATTCATTCCAGTCAAAATCAGCAGAAATAACCAAACAAAAATGGGTTGCTCTTGCTTTGCATTTTCCTTCCTTTTCCCATAATTCCCTCTGGAGCTTACTTCTTCCAGAGACATTCACACTTTTAACAGTCCCAATAAATAATCTTTTCCCCACCTTCAATCTTGTTTTCCTTTTGAGATGTCTGATTTGGCAGAGGACGAGGCTCTTAATCCCAGGGTTGTGGGTTCGAGCCCCACTTGGGGAAATATTTCCTGCACTGCAGGGGGTGGGACTAGATGACCCTCAGGGTCCCCCACAACTCTGTAATTCTAGGAGACCTTCCTCTCCCCACAATACCTTATGCAGCTGTGAAAATGCATACATTATTGGATTAATAGAGGACTAAAAAAATGAACAAGGAGAAGGGGAAGACAGAGGATGAGATGGTTGCACAATGTTCTCGAAGCTACCAGCATGAGTCTGACCAAACTGGGGGAGGCAGTGGAAGACAGGAGTGCCTGGCGTGCTCTGGTCCAGGGGGTCACGAAGAGTCAGACATGACTAAACGACTAAACAACAACAAGAACAACAAAAATGAACCCCTTCACCCATGTCAGGCAGGATAGCTCTTTGCTCTGGAGACCTCAGATGGGAAGAAAATGAAAAAGAAATTGAGCAGGGCGTCATCTTCAAATGCCCTCTGCAAATACAGCCTTGCCATCTCCACATGTCAGAAGTAAACCTTATTGCATTGAGTGGGGCTTCTGCTCAGTTAAATGTGTTTTGAGTGGATGCATTAATGTTCCTTATTCACAGGCTGGATTCTGACTTATTGAGGGCATCAAATGGGGTGTCCTCTTTATAATGCTGGACTCTAACTCCCCTACGATTTATCCAGCATGGCCATTTATCCAGAGAGGATGGGAGTTGCAGTCTGGCAGCTTCCGCAAGGGGCCCCATGGGCTGTGCTGCCCTATACATTACGCAGGGCACCTTCCCTTTGCTCCTCAGCCCCACCTCAAATATACAGTGCTACCCCACAGTGGCGGAGCAACAAGCTGCAGCCCCCGGAGCGGAGAACAGGCTGGGGCGTGGCCCGCGTCCCGGGGTTGCGCAGCGTGCGGCGCAGGTCCCGCGCATCCCAGGGGAGCAGCCGTGATGGTACCCTTTCCCTAAATGGTACCTGGAATGGCACACCCCCACCCCCCTTCGTACCCCGGTGCTCCCCCAAGGAGGGTCATTTTGGCAGCAGGTGCATTTGATTTTTCTCCTGGGATACTAAGAGCTAGAACAACACATGCCTGTGGAATTGACCTCTCTGAGAGATCTGGTAGGACTCTCTCAAAGATCTGGCAGCCTGCTCTCCTTTCCCTGCGTTTTCCACAGGGTGGTGGCACATGATGGAATAAAGACACCTTCCCCCCACCTGCCTGAGGGCTGCCTCCCCTTCCTCCATCCCCTACATGATGTTGGCCTCGTTTGTGTGTCATTTAGTAGGGAGACAACATAAAAGTAACATTAAAGAAAGTAACATTAGTACAGCGACGGTGAACACAATTATAATATCTCACAGTGGCTGGAAAAGGAAGCAACACAGCGGACTATGCCGTGGTTTTGAGCATCACAGGGAGCAATGCAGGGGGGCAGACAAGTGGGGAGACTTTACTGATAGCAAATATTTATTCCCTTATTGATACAGAGGAAAAGAAACCTTTGTTCAACTCAAAATTCTTATAACACAGTCAAAAAGCATTCGCTGCTCCTTGAGAAAACATTCAGCAACTGCAAAGACCTGGGGACATTTAAAAAAAAATAAAAAATCACGTGCTCACTGAGTCATTTCCTGGAAGGGAAACTCCCAGTGGCTGAAAACGGAGAAAGTGAAACTTAACTCGGATCTTCGGTGCGAGGGAGCCATGGCTGCTGCAGGGGGTCACATCCAGCGTCTCCGTGATGAAGCCACTTGCTCCATCTGCCTGGATTACTTCAAGGAT